TTGTACCAATCACAAACGTATGCGACGAGGCGAGCTGTGGCCGGCGAGGTGGCCAAGAACATCCTGCGGAACCATGTGCTAATTACCACCACGCAACACCTGGACGGAATCATGTCTCTCCTCAAAGTTATCATCAAAGAGGGCATTCAGCAACCGACTGGCTATCCCGGGCTGAACCGCCCGAGAGGTGGTGAGTCGGACGAGACCGTTGAGGAGCAGGGGTGGCTGGCCCGAATAGTTCATTTTGTTCAAGGGCCCGACAACGACACTCAGCTCAAACTCTTACAGCAGATGCGCAAAGCCTACGAGGTGGGCAACGAGCGGATTAGATATACGACACCCGCCATTATCACAGCCTCCATGAAGCTCGCGCGGAAACTCAAAGCCCGCGAACATTTTGATGACAACTGGCAAAATCAATCTTCCGCGCTGTACCGATTCATGCATCAAACCCTCTCCCAATTATATACCCGTGTTAATCCTGGCGCGGCAGAATTATGTCTTCGGTTATTTGTTTCGTGTGGTCAAATCGCCGACCAGTGTGGTTTTGAGGAGTTCGCATATGAATTCTTTGCCCAAGCGTTCACTATCTACGAGGACAGTATCAGTGATTCGAGGGCACAGTTCCAGGCTGTCTGCATCATCGCTGGCGCGTTGCAGATGACGAGGGGATTTGGAAAGGAAAACTACGACACGTTGATTACAAAAGCCGCATTGCACGGAAGCAAGCTGCTAAAGAAGCCAGACCAATGTCGCGCGGTCTATCTCGCCAGCCATCTATGGTGGTGCGTTGAGATACCTGGTAGAGAAGAGGACCCGAAGAATGTGAGTTGCGACAGGCGCAGATGCTGTTGGAGATCTTGAAATTCTAACCAGGCGAAAACAGTTCTATCGCGACGGTAAGCGGGTGCTGGAATGTCTCCAACGGGCATTACGTGTTGCCGACGCCTGTATGGACACCGCAGTCTCTGTCGAGCTGTTTGTCGAAATCCTTAACAGATACGTGTACTACTTTGATCAACAAAACGAAACGGTAAGGACGACCCATCCTTATATTTGCCCGATAATGTCTAACTATGCATGCTACAGGTCACGACCAAGTACCTGAATGGGCTCATTGAGCTGATCCACTCCAACCTATCGACAACAAACTCTGAAGGGAATACCCAGGCCCTGGAGAATCCCAAGCGGCACTTTTTCAGGACGCTCGACTACATCAAGTCCCGGGATTACGAAGGCGTTGTTATCGAGGCGAGACAGTGAGGTGGACTATGGCAATCAGTGATGGAGACCAAGACGAGAGAAACTGATCCCACTTGTTTCTCTGCAGAATGAAAAAAAGAAGAAATCTCCACAAAGGATTGGCCTGGAGCATTCTACATTGCATTTACCCACGCTTACTTGGCCCGGTCTGTGCGGTTTATACATTTCCCTTGCGGCGACATATTCCTTGCCCCAATTTTTGGCACTGACCAAAACCACCTTCCGCGCGCGCAAATTCTTTTCCTCCTTGTCCTCGTATAACAAAAATGCAATGCAATGCAGAGCGTGTCCTGAAATCGAACAAGAAAATTAATGGGAGGGTGTGAGAGGATGGAAATCTGGCTTGCCTTGGGTTGACTTGACTTGGCTAGGCTAGACCGGGCTATGCTAGACTTGCCTGAGTGCGGTATAATACACGAGATCTCGCTCATCGCTCATCATCGAATGAGTGACTCAGTCAGTCAGTCAGTTGGTCGTGGGTTGCGTCAATTCCTGGTTTCCCACTGTTCCCTTGCCTGTGTCGCCGATTCGTTTTGCAAGGCTGTACTGTACGTATGTACTAGGTCCTGGATACTGGGTCCTGGACCCGGCTGGGTGCTGAATAAGGGGGGTGTGGTTGTGTGGTGTGGTGTGGTGCGGTCATCACGTTGGACAGGATTCATCATGCTGGAGATGCCATATTATAATCAGAAGCTATTGACTATTGATGCATTGACTCTCTGGTCCAATAATGAGGGACTCTTTCCCTTGAGCATGACAAGTATAGTTATATCTGTGGTCATTTTGTTCCCTTCCAGCCATCCAACCATCTATCCTCGTGCTGTGCGTTTCAGCCAGGTCTTGCACCTTCAAAGCTCCTGGACAAGAAGGCCAGTGGCAGCCGCTTGGGGAAGCTGGATCTTGGGCGCCAACATTTCCATCGGCATCAAAGGACTAGTCGTGCCATTGCTCGGACTGGGGTTGTTACTTTGTAACGCAGCACGATACTTGAAAGCAAAGTTCAAGATCAATGCAACGGCCAAACCAATAGTGACGATAAACGGCCCAATCGGATTGTCAAAGTCCTTCCCACTTCTTTCCTTGATCAACTTTGTACGCCACATATACACGTACCAGCCCCAGATTCCTGCGAACACGGCGAAGCAGGTATACACCACGGCAAGGATGCGGGCAATGCTGTTATCAACACCAGCAGCATTGTAAAGGCCAACTGATAGGGTGGCTAGGAGGACTGCGATATGCTGCCACTTGATGAATGTTCGCTGGTTGGCAAGCCAGACCTTGGCTTCAATTTTCAGTTCACCCTGGTCTTTGATCCAGAAACTTGGTTCTTTGACACCAGGAGGAAGCGGAGCATTCTCCCATGCTCCCTTTCCTTGGCGGCGACGACGGGCGTAACGAGAATTCGAGAAGGCTGGAAGGAAGGATCGAAGACCGCCCCTGGACGAATCTCGAACCTCGACCTGGTCGGCTGGATGAATGCCATCCTCGTCAGTATCCCGTTCCTCGGCAGTGGTTTCCAGCTGCGGCTCGGCCCTGCTGCGTCCTTGAGATTGAACAGATTGAGAAAGCTGGCCGGAAAGTCTTCTCTCTGCGAATTTGCCAGGAGAAGACGCAGCCTTTCCTTTGGGGGTCAATCTGGACCCTGCAATGAAGCTGCCGACGGCCATTTCATCCTCTGCCTTCTTAACCTCTTTCTGTTGTTCCTCTTGGTACGCTGTAACAGGGTCTCTTCTGATGTCGGTTTCCAAGTCGCTCAGCCAGAAAGGAAAGCTGTTGACATAGTCCTCGAATAGCTCGGCTACGCCATGAACAAACTTGGAGAATCTTTTCTCCTCCTTGACCAGGTGAGAGTTCATCAAGTCGTGGAGCCAAGCATTATTTCTAGTATACTTGGATTCTTTGATCTTGATCTCGAGCACAGCGTGGGGAAACCGGCTGATCTCGCCCTTCTTAATGGCGGAAAATGGGTATTCCATCTTGTTCTGGTCGATATCAGACCGATGCCAGTCATCTGGATCTCGACATGGGCGGTCAGGGTCCATTGCATCCTCTCGAATGAAGGCCAGATCAGTGTCTAGCGACACCCGGATTCTGTCGTCCCCGGGGATCTGGAAAGCAGTCCGGGTATAGCTTGCTCGGAGAACTGGCTCGAGTTCTTTCTCTTTGATGAAAGACTGAATCTCGTCAACGTTGGCCTTGAACGCCTTGATGTCCTCATGTTGAGGTCCCAGTAACTCTTCGAGTCTCTTGATCTGTTTTTCCATCTTGTATTCGCCCTTGAGAAACGGAATGAGGTATTTGGGCTTCAGTTGGATTCTGATGTCACTACTGTCGGTTGTTTCCTCGTCGACGAACTTTTTCTCAAGGACCACCTCTGGTTCATCAAGTAAATGGCCAGCCCATCTGACACGCAGGGATGCACCACCAGTACCCTTTTCGACCTTTCCTTGGTACAGGTCAAAGTTGTGATTATCGAAGTAGATTGAGGTGATCGTCGGGTCCTTTTGGGACGAATCAACCACCTTGACTGACTGGGGATTGTACACCAAGACGGGCAGACGACGCAAGAGGTACGTCTTGACCTCGAGCAGGTTGTCCACATGAACCCAGTATTTGAAAGCCTTGTATTCGTCTTTTGGTCGGACGTCTGTATTCGCTTCCTTGCCAGCCTGTTCTCCCTCGAGCTGCTGCCGAGCCCAACTGTACATGGTCGACAGTCGGAAAAGCAAAGGCGAGTAGTCCTCCTGGTTGAACGGCATCTGAGAAAGACGGACCTGCAGTATCGGACGGACTCTGTACTTGAGACCTCTCTTTCTATCATGTTTCTTTGCAGCCTTGAGGAACCCGGTGTAATTGATCCTGCTGAACTTCCTAAGCTCATTGAGCTCCTTGGAGATGCTGTCAAGCTCCGGAAGAAGCTCCTTTGCAGCAGCTTTGTATTCCTCCTCAGCTTTTCCTGCGTCTTCGCCTTCGGTAGACGGGAGCTTTGCCTCACAGGCAGCGGTTCGGTCTCGTAGTGAGTTGAAGGTATCGACCTGATGCTGGTGGACCTTTTCCAATTGGGTTACGGTGAGTTCGTGGACAAAGTTCTCTTCGTCCTGTTCACTCCAGCTCCTCTCACCACCTCGGCCTTGAGGGGACGTTTCATCTTCGCGGAGGAGTTTCTTGATCTTGTCGTACTCGAGGTACTTGTCTTTCCATGGTGGATAGATGGCATCGGAGAGGGTCTTGCCAAAGCGCATGTTGGCAAGAGAACGAAGGCAGTGTAGGTCCGGTCTTCAAGGTCGCAGCAGCTACTCCATCTAGATGTCAATATTGAGTATAGGAGAAGAAGCTCTAGGGAGAAAAATCCATAAATCTATGTTATTGGTACAACAACCGACAGAGATTGACCAACTCGCAACGCAGCTTTGGAAACCTCGATGCTGTCAGTGCCTTGTTCCCTGCGGTTTCCCCACTCTCAAAAAGCAAAGCGTGGTGAGCAACAACCAATCGAGGCGGCGATTCCCCTCCCGTGCTCACAAGATACTTGCCTAATGCGGCTGGAGATTCTCGGACACGGTTTTTCCGGCCGGCCATCTCCAATTGGCTGCTCGGAGTAAGACGACAGCCTCGGCATCGACTAGATGATCCCGACGAGGCTGCCAACTTCCATTGAGTCATGTCGCATCCCTTCTACAACACTCAGATATGCTCTAAGACGAGTAGAACTTCTCAACAATAATTTCGCCGCTATGTCGGAAGACTCGAGAGCTATTATCAAAGCTCTCGAAAAAGTCCTTGTACACCTCAGCGAGAATCCGTACCCGCACGTCCCCAATCCTCCCCATACCTCTCCGAAACGAGCCAGCGTAGCTGCCATTATCCGTGTCCGACCAGCTTATAAACCCGTCCCTGCAAGCGTCAATGGCTCCCTCATAGCAGTTGATAAACCTTCTCCTCCCTCGCCGCCTTCGACCCTCAGCGAATTCTTTGCGCAAGAATGGGTCCAGGAAGGAGACCCGGAACTACTTTTCATCAAGCGCGCCGGTCGCGCTGGGGATAGGTGGTCGGGCCATATTGCCTTGCCTGGGGGAAAGCGAGACCCCGAAGACGCGGATGACTTTGCTGCTGCCGTCCGCGAAACAAGAGAAGAGATAGGCTTGGACCTGGAAACAACGGAGTGCCTGCCCGCAGGGAATCTCCCCGAGCGGCTGGTCACAACTTCTTGGGGGAAAGACGTTCTAATGGTTTTATGCCCCTACATATTCCTCCTGACAGGCAAGGCCGTTCCACCTGTCCAGCCACAGCCCACAGAAGTTGCCTCGGTGCACTGGGTCTCTCTCCGTGCTCTGCTGTCACCCACTCTACGGACTCGAGAAGCCGTGGACATGTCCTCAAGAATGGCCAAGCACGTTGGTCCCATAATCCACAAACTGATCCGTTGGACAATGGGAAAGATGATGTTCAGTGCCGTTCGCCTCCTCCCTACAGAGTCTGTTTATGCCAGCTCAATACCGGGATTCATACCTACGGAGGGTGGAGATAAGCTCTCCACCTTGTCTGGTTGGGCCCAAGCGCCCTTTGGCATTCCGTCCTCATCATCTGTTCACCACTCTCTTCTTACTTACCAACAACCACTGATCCTCTGGGGTCTTACACTCGGCGTCTTGGCGGATCTTCTCGATCAGCTTCCACCCTACAACGCTGTGGCGCTCTGGAAATATCCCACGTTTACAGTCCCTGACCTCCGTCTAATTGTGTACATCATGACTCGCTCATTCCGAAAGAATAGCGCAGAGACCTTCTCGTCTGGATCTTGGCCGAACAAACTGCAACGGCAGCCCAGTCAGACCGCGATGGATGGCGCAAGCGAGGCAACAGCGGTCCCGGTGGCCGAATCTACTCCCGTCATGGGGCCTGAATCGACGTCCGCGCCCGCTCCTCTGGACAATGGAGAGAAGTCTTCTCGAGCGGCTAAGCGATCATCGTTCAATAAGCACAGTGTCGGTATCGGCGGATTGGGTGTCGGAAAAGACCCTCAACATGCCGTTGGTAAGTTGTTGTATGGGTACTATGGCCGAGTGAACTGGGCGATCGCCTTGTTTTTGGCGTACAGAACAGCGCTCACGGTAAGTGTGGCGTGGTGGGTGGTTAGATGGTGGCGAAAACGAAAGGCTGTTGGCAAGTAGTGGTTTGCTGGCGGACCTGGAGTGGGCGGCACGCAAGCTTGCATTATCGAGAACAGCTAGCAGGCTGTATTTTTGAGGTCCCTTCCTTCCCCTTTCCTAGAGACTACCTCTGCCTTGTATATGAAGATGTGGCATCTGGTATTGAGCTTCAAAAGCGGCAAGTCTTGCATATTGAACGAGCTGATCTATAGAGCGCAGATGTTGATGCTTAGATTTGTCAATTTACATGAAGAGCGCAGTAAAATATGTATAGTTACGGGGTCATACAATAATCAAACTGAGATGTGCTAGCCTTGAACGCCCTGCGGTACTAGATGAGCCTCGCAAGGCACTCCCTCTCGTTCTCTACCTAACCCCGCGTCTTATCCCTGTTAGGTCTATAGCCGTTCCGAAGGGGTCTAGTTCATAGTAGAAGAGCGTGTGCTCCAATGTCCCACCGAGAAGGTGCCTCGCCATGTACTCGATCTGGAAGGCCATTACTTCGAAGAATCCCAATGGTTGGCAAGCTAGAAGCGTCTCGTCGCGAAGCACTAAGCTGGAATCTTTCAAGGCGGTAGGCTTTGTCAACCGTATGGCTCTGCCGTATACAGCCAAAGCAACCTCGGGTGCGGGCTTCGAGTTTGCATCTCCTCGTCTCCTGGCAAGTTTGGCCAAGGCAGCGAGCGTATTTGAACGTGGGGAGAAAGGGCTGGTTGATGAGTCTAGGATACAGGTCCGCAACTTATTCTAGATACCTCCCCCACCCCGCCCTCCCTTTCTCCCTTCTCTCCGAGAAGGGATTGTCTATCTGGAAGGCATAGGCGAAAAAGAACCTTTGCACTGCCAACTCATGGTGACTGGCCCGACGCGAAGGTCGTGTTGGTCGATGTACCTGTCAGTTTCGTGGTGCTGAGACTCGATGCACCGCCTTCGGTTGGATTAGTTGACCGTTGCTGCCAGAGTTCATAAGCTCTATGAGAAGAGTGTGCTGTCTCATCATAGTGGAGAGTATCAAAGGCGTCTCAAAACTCATGGGTCTCGCCTAAATGAAGACAACGGCCACGAGATGTTGGCCGGGCTTCGTCGCTCTTGTACAGGATCAAAATAACAAGTGGCAAGGGAAGTACTAATCACTCACTGCCTACATTAACCTTAGGACTCTGCATACACGGAACGCTTTACTTCGTGGACCTCGGTGTATGTAAGGCACCTTGGGCTTCTCAGCTGAGAAGTATACCTCATTGAAATGTGGTATTGACGTAGTATTGTCCAAGCGAGCGGGAAGGGAAATGCTCAGGTAAGACCCTGCAACGATGAAGTCTGGTAACAAAGGACCCAATCGCATCATCTGGGCTGACAATGCCTGTCTCGCTTAATAGAGTCTGCATGGGATGGATGTACCGCTTCGTGCGTCTCGTGCTCGGTAATTATGTGTGACGCATGCTGAGACTTCCGCATTCGGCAGGTTGATCCACCACTTATTGAACCACTAGACCCACACCACAGGAATACTCGTATGTTGGAATACATCGACAGGGACACCGTCTCAGCCATGCGCAACATGGCGACTACTTCTGTCCTATTTCACGAGTTGTAGAGTATATCGATTGCAGAAGGTTCTCAAGCACCTCGCACGTAGTTTCTGAGCTATGCGACCGTCGAAATGTATACATACATATATATATGTCCCCTGCGTCGCCCTAAAAGTTGGACACATCCAGAACCACCTCAAGAATTATCGCAAACAGATCGGAACATCGAACAGCATTGATACATTATGGGCAGCTGTCACTCTCCTAGCAATGCTGGTAAGTCTCACGCCTTTATGGGTGATCCTTCCATCGCTGACTGACATTCTCTGTAAAGACCAAGCAGAACCCCTTGCTAACGATCTCTCGTACCATATCTTGACGACGTATATTGCCGCGGGAACCACCATCTGCACATGGGCCGTTTGCAGTCTCCTGACACTTGCACACCTGGCGAGATATGCTGCACCACGACGACAGAAGCAAATTGTCCGCCTTATTTGGACGCCAGGAGTGTTTGCCATTTTCAGCTTCTTCGGAGTCTGGCATTACAACCTGGCCAACTACCTGACTCCGATCGCCGAGCTCTACGAGTCCTTTGCACTCATTGCACTGTTCTTTCTTCTGGTTGCCTGCGTGGCGCCAGAGTACTTTGAAGGACAGCTTCAGTATTTTGCTACCAACCCTGGGACTCCCAAACCTTCAAATGCTGCAAGCGTCAACTGGTTTCGCAAGACTTGGATCACCGTGATTCAAATTTTGCCCACCCGCGTGGTCACCGTCACTGCCACAGAGATTGTCGAAGCAACACAGTGCCACGGAACCACGTCCTATCAGCGGGCTATGACCATCATCAGCATTGTTCAGGGGTTGCTGACTGCGACCTGTCTCATCGGCATCTCCAAGTTCTACTCGAGATTTCGCAGCCAGCTCCACGTTGCCGACCGACGTATCCTTTATAAAATGGGCGTGTTCAAGCTCCTCGTCTTTACCCAGCTTGTACAAAGGATCATCATCAATGCCCTCTCGCAGAGTGACGTCCTGAAACCAACCGAGCATCTGAGTTACAATGACCTCAATCTCGGGTTGAACTCCTTCCTCATCTGTCTGGAGACTTTTGTGCTTGCGATTCTGTTCGTCTGGCCGTTCTGGCCGCACAAGGCGTTTGCGAATTCGAGGGCAGGGATTCTTTCGGCAGCTCTAGACGCCATCAACCCTTGCGATTTTTTTGCAGGGATAGTTGGTACTGCACGGCTCTGCCGAGGAATCCATCCTGACAAAACTCTTCAAACTGGACCTGTCGATAATGAGCAACATGAATATGCGCATCAAGAGGGGTCGGTGGGGAACAAATTGACCAGCGTTGACAGTAGTTAGGTCTCGGTTTTAGGCTCTTATTATGGTTGCGCGCTGTTGCTTCTCTCTGAGATATTTGATTGATCAATGGGCTCGTCTTGCCTCGATTGCTTTTTGACTTGGTTCTGAGCAGGTAGTTGTGTTAACTGATTGTGTCTTGTCAGTTTTAATGGATCCATAGAATATCGCAAGGCTCTCGGATAAACCTCGGCCCGGCGCTGATTTCTTGTGCCCCTTTTACCCTCGATCCCGTCCTTGTGATTCCGTTCCATCTTTTCCTTTTCTTCTTGTTCAAAACTCTTGTGTTGTTGAGGTGGCAGCGGCAGCGATCCCATCGCCTTCTCGTACACTGGGTGCAGACGTGTACAACATGCCCCGCACAGTATGTATATATAAGTGGCAGCGAGGTCCCTTCACGCTTTGTTCATGCGGCAACCAAAATGCGCAGTTCTCACAAAAGAGTGCTTGGTGGGCAGAGTGACGCCTCATGGCGAGATGGCGCACGCCGCAAAGGGGCGACAGGGGTAGGAAATTCACTAAACATGTCAGGCGCCATTCACTCTCTGCTGTGTTTCTAGCAACTTGTGGCTTGGCTGCGAACTGGGGCGCTGAATTTCTCCCCCACGATTAATTACTCTCGCCTCAGTTCTGTCCTTCTTGGTCACGTTCACACACCTCTTGTCTGTCAGAAATTTGTCGAGTCCGCTCTCGAATCACCTCAGCATCAACCTCTACCATTACTCCGTCAGCATTTGTCAAATTGTCCTGTCAGATCAGTCTCCTCTTCTCTACCAAAGATCCAAAAATGCCCGTCAGTCGCTGGAACGATGCCAAAAAGCTCACTGTAGAGTCTTCAAACCTTGTCTCACGGCTCCCACACTGACCATCAACAGCTCCTTCGCACTGCCATTACGTGTTCGCCAAACTTCAAGATCGATGCCGTCCAAGTAGCTAAGATGTGGCGTAAGCAACGAGGTTCCTGTTCGCTTTTAACCGCTGCTGACTTTGGCTTGAGCCGACGACGACGATGAGCATGTCAAACCGACTGTTCGTAGCATCAACGACAACTTCAGGGCAATTATAAGACACGGCAAAGACCTCGAGGCTTTACGGCAGGTTAAGCAAGGGCCCGTCACAAAAGGGGAGGATGAAGACGAAAAAGTCGAAGCCAAGTCTAAGGCGAAGAATGAGATTGACGACACCCCTGCTACGTTTCAATCATCCACGATCAGATCCCCAGAAGGGAAGAATATAGTCACTACTCCACACCGCGGTGTGAGCTCCGGGAACAAGCGCTCGTCAGCGAACAAGCCTAGCACCGGATCTAAGCGCAAGCGCCGCGTCCATTCACCCTTCTCTGACGAGGACATGCGATCGGCAAGCGAGACCACCTCCGGCGATGAGGCCAATATCGCCACTCCAACCCCGCTGACTCGAAGGACCTTGCCAGTGCGCAAAACTCGCCATGCAGCCAAGCCCATGTCCGAGGACGGGCGCGGCGGTACGGAGGGGGAGGAGGAATATGTGTGTGCAAGGCGCCAGGACTCTGAGGACTCGGACGGGGAGTATGACCTTGCCGAAGAGCGCAAGGAGAAGGCAGCACGCAAGGCGAAGCTCGCGAGGCTGGCTCGCAAGTGAAGAGTCCAGAAAGAGGAGGCAGAGGGGCGCAGTGTCAGATATTGACACATATTTATGCGTGTCTAAGCAGATCAGAGAACATCACACGCTGTGAGCATCGTCTCATAGCAAACAAAGTAATGAGAGAGAAAATGATTTCCCGTGACCTCTACTGTCCACGTGTCGTCCCTCGTTTCCACCGCATGTCACAACCTGATCAAGCACCAGAATGTCGCACGCCGAGATAACCGAGCCCGTCACTCTGAGTCAAAGCCAGTTTGTCAGAGTCGCGGCCGCCGTCTGTCAAAGACAAAGGGAAGCCGTATTATTTTCTACGGCGCGAACCGGTTCCATGACGATCCCGGACGAGCGGATGACAAACCGGCAGTCCCTCGACGTGAGCGGTGACCACAAGGCAGGTCTCGCCGACTATTACGGAGCATTCTACGCTGATTCCACGTAGAGTAGAGCACGGTCAAACAATTAATGGCGGGTTGAATGGGAGCTGAACACAGCGGATGTCATACAGACAACATCCCAAGGACACCCATACTACACTTGGATCCCTCATTCATTGTCTTTATCGCATTCAAAAGTAGCCGCATTGCTTGATTGTATCGTATAACCTTTTCAACCATCACCGACCCTGTTTTCTCTCATGTCATTGCCTGTGCTCCTCTTTTGTTCAGAACACCTTATTCCATGCTTCATCCCAGTGCTTATGACAGCCACCACTGCACAGCCCTGCTGAATGCTCATGCACTCTCTTTTTCCATGTCTATAGTATTCTCAAAGACGACTTCCCCGATGACTCCGTCCCAGCTTCATTGTCCGAGTGGGTTGGAGCATTGCTGGTCCTCACACGTTTGGGTTGCTTCCTAGAAACCCTCTTCTTAGGAGTACTTTGTCGATTGCGCTGTAAGGCCCCAGAGTTGACGACCTTGATGTCGATATGGTACTGTTTGCGGATCCGCGTGAACTTTGGGGGAATAGAAGCTAGGCTCATGCCTAAGCGTCTAGCCACCTCTTCGGCATCGACCTAGATCATCGATGAATGGTTAGAGAAGGATTGTTGGGAAGCCTTAGGAGTGGGGTGTTACATACTTCGAGAGGGCTGACCGCGCTCCGAAGGGCGGCGATCAGAGCCGCGATGTCGACTTCCTTGATGTCAACCATTTGGTTTTCAGCCATTGTTGCAAGTTTTCTCTGCTTTGTATGATAGATAAGGTGGGCTTGAGAAGACAAGATGGTTCAACAAACGTCTAGATAGGAGTAGAAGATATTCTCGAGACTGTGCTTCTAGTCTCGACCTCCAGGCTCAAGGGCATTTTATACCTCTCAGGCTGCTATCAACCAAGGCGCTCCAGGCCCAGGCTTTCTCTAGCTTTCGAGAGGAGGGGGAAAGGACGACTCCCGGGGAGAAGTTGCTTGAAGGCTCAGCGTCTGAACCAACAGCAAGCAAGGAATGCTCGGAGACGGTTTCTGTCATTACATTTGGGCCTATGCAGTTCCGTGACTGAGTGTGCCCGAAGACAGGGATCCGACATTGCCATTGATTGGCTTTCAGCGTCGCGTCCGCCATCAGAGAATGTTCAAAGAGGCCATTTTCCGGCGCTAGACGTGCCTAGTGCAGGTTTGCACACGGGGAGTCAAATCAGCTATAGAGGTTGCATATTGATGGCCTCTTGCCAACAAACGTCAGTTCTGCGTTCTGCACTTGCTAGTGGCGAGGAGATACTGTCAGAATTGCTCCTCATCGTCTCATCACTGTCACACGACGGGACGCACTGTGACTACTGATGGTTAACTCCAAGCTAACAAATCCAGCAGCTGCGGATACCTCATTTCAGGCCCACACCGACACTCCAGCGACATGACGGTCTGTTGCTAATTGCCCTCGACTTTCTTCCTATATTTCGCGACTTTTTTCCCACATTCTCACAACCTCCCTAGTCTCTCCGTTCAATTTCCTCCTCTACTCACGACACTCTCGAGCACACTCGCAACAGCTTTGCCATTTGCTTGTCGGTGTTTCTCCAAGACATTGTCATCAACTCCACCATGCCTTACCAATGGACTGCCGAGCGGGAGCGCCGCATGCTGATACTCGCGATTTCTGCTGCAAATCTGAGGCCTTCAGCTGATACGTGGCAGCGGGTTGCAGCACTTTTAGGAGAGGGGTTGACCCCGTCAGCCGTGAGGTGCGTGTTGCCCGATCCGTGGACGAAGGCGTCTGCAGAATTGACTGACCTGCAACAGTCAGAAGTACTACAAGCTACGGAATGACATGGCAAAGATGGTCGGGGAGCAAGGGGTCCCAACTCCATCGACGCCAACCAAGCGCAAAGCGGAACCAGATGACGAGACCAAGACACCTCCCTCCAAACGAGGTCGAAAATCCAAGCAAAAGTCTGTCGAAGGTGTTCCCTTTCGCGAGGAGTCCCAAAGCCCTCGGGCAGCCAAGCATGAGGAGATGGCGGTGAATGGTCTGGATCCATTTCATAGCTACGACGCACCATTCAGTGCGGCAGCCTATTTCGCATCGGTGAACATGGGGGACATGATGAGTGGACAAAGCAGTGGGAACAGCGGTAGCAACGGCTTCATGGCTTGAGGTGGCAGTCTCCAGAGTTTTGAGTTCGCAAGGGTGCAAGCAGTGTGCAACGGTTGCAGATATTGGCTTCAAACCGCCATGAAGTGGCTCAGAAACGGTGCACATATGCCGGTAAAACGGCTGAGGATTTTCAAAGAAGCGACTTCCAGTAAGGTTTTTTTGGGGGGGGTGGGCAGGCCTTGTGTTCTGGGCAAGTCGGCTGCGGGAGAAAATAGGGGGGGCTGGGAAGAAGGGGGTTTCGCTTGCATCAGGTGGGAAGACTTCCCAGCCTCCTCAATTTCAAGAGATAGCGGCCATCAAACATTGTATAAACGTGTATGCCTGGGTTTGTATATGCAGACTTGTCGTCCATTTTATCTGTTTGAGTTTCTTGGCGACCGACTAGAAATGTCTTGGCATATCCGATCAAGGAGCCTAGTCGTGGGATGCTAGTGGATGATGCGGAGCGGGGATGGTGGGCTGCAGAAAGGTGATCCAACCATCGCCGCGGGAACATAAGGCAGAGAACTTCCTGGCAATGGGCCCCACTCATTCACACAACCCTGGGATAGTCCTGCAAGGAAATCCTATCAGACCATAGGCGGAGAGGGAGCACTGCTGGTATGCCGTCACGCCCCTCTTTGGTTTCTGTTGAGGAGTTTTGTTGTCATGGAAGTCCTCTCGTGTGTGTGATTGATCGTTCCAATCTTGTTGGGACTCTACACCGTCTTTTTGTCCTTCTTGCGCCTTGTTTGTATGTCCTGCAAGAGCTTCGCGCCTTGCAATCTCGTCTCGTCTTGACTCGTCTAATTGCTTTCCTCGAGGGACGCCCTCGCCCTACGCTCCCCATAGCGCGAAATATGCAAGCACTTACGAGGACATTGGTCTAGGCAAGTTCGGAAGCCCGTGAGGAGCGTAGCCTAAGTTACTGCGCCATGAATCACCACCCTCCCCCTTAGTCTCGCCTCACTTAGCCGGAGCGAGGACGCTACCGGCTGCTACATCTGCACGTGCGGGCATTTCCTTCTTCGACATTCTCCGCCTCTCTGATTTCCCTCATCAGACTCTGGCCTCTGAGTAACACAGCTAAAGTGACCTGTGAATTCAGAAACCAGCCTCCTGGTCATGAAGGGTGCGAAAACGTGCCCCTCCAGTCTCACTGGCGACCTTCCCACTAGTGTTCCCATTTCAACTTGGTTCTTCGCTTGTTCCTTGAACTCGACTCACTTGGCCTATGCAACTTCGTTCATCTCCATCTCTTCTACCTTTTACAGAGACCCCTCCAAGCTCGATTCACCACACTCATTCATTCCATCTCCCTAGCATTGACAAATCACTTCATCAAAATGGCACCAGGACAACAATCTAAGCAGGAACTGAGTTCCAAAGACGCCATGTTCCTGTTGGAGCTGATGCGCGACTCTCCTCAGGCGATCCTCGTAAGTGCTGACCAGTGCCTCCCACCACTCCCTCCAGCTACTCTAGCCCTCTCATTACCTACTTGCCTACCTCACCACGCCCATTAGTTCCATCTCACATCACCACAAACGTCAGACTCTCTCTTTCTCTCTTCCCCGAATCGAATGCCACTTTTCGGCGTGATGTACTGACTCTCTCCCCGCGCCCGACAGTTCCATATTGGCCCATACTGCGAAAAGACCGGCACCAAGCCCAACACCATCGTGAAGCGTCTCGGCGAGATTAAGAAGCGCAATGGTCTCAACATAATCACAACTACGAGTCCACCAAACGGAAATAGCCGCGCCTATGCCACGCCCAAGGCTCCATCCAAGTCGAAGCCTAAGAGCGCCGACGACAAAGAAACGAAGCCTAATATCAAAGCCGAGCTCGAACCGCAGTCTGGCAAGCTGAATGCTACAGAACTCACCATGGCGAACGGCGTCAAGGTGGAAATGAGCGACCCTTCTAGCCCGGGCGTTGCCTACGGTCTCCCTTCACCGGCAGAGTCTGCGGCGGGAGCGGGAAAAGCGGAGACACCGGCGACAAACGGCGTACCCATGGCGCATATGCCCCTGTATATGCCGCAGAAGCGTAGAGTCGACGACCAAGAGGAGTATGGGCGAGACGTCGCCGCCGCCGCTAAGGGAGGAAGGACGAACAAGAAGATCAAGACCGAGAACTGAAACATGTGCGAAAAGGCCACTGTAGCCACATGAGTTCAATGCATTCGATGCATGTTGTTTTTCTCCTTTTCGCTTGCCAAAAAACCAGGCTGTCTATGTTGGCGCGGCGAGGAATGTTGACACAGAAATGTGCGAGAAAATGATATTCAGCAACGCTCTTGTCTTCTTCAGACATGGGCAGGAGAAGAGCGGAAGGTATTCGAGCTTTAGTCTGCGAAAACTCAAATAGTTGGGTCTGGAGCTATGTTGGAAACCAAACATGAAAAGATGCTTGTGCGAGAAACCATTGAGCTTGCTTAAACTAGCTACACTTGCATCTTGAAATGAGGGAGTCAGAAAATACAAGAGCATGTCAATCCAAATTTCTTCCTAGTCGAGAACAATCATACAAATAGGCTCGCCGACATCCTTCTTTTTGCCGTTTTCTTTCGCGTCTCCACGTTTGATGCCGAGGTGAACTCCAATCCCCGGCGCAGATATCGTCCTCTGCGTACAATTTCTGCCTCCAGGGTTCGGACCGTTACACGAAGCTGCGGGATGCAGCGTTTCCAGGACCATAGTTGTGGGGACAGTAGAGTTTGAAGTTGGGCTGTTATTGATACCCATCATTCCAGGTCTAGACCTGTCGTCGGGAACACTTGCAGGCGCCCTCTCGCGAGAAGGAGGAGATGAATTGTCTCGAGCGGACGCGGATTTCTGGAAAACGTTCAGCAATTTGAGATTTAGCTGGATCAAACGCGAAATGTCCTTGGCGGTGACACTATCTGGGATTTCAGATGCCTTCTCGTCCCCTCCGCTCTCGGAGTTGTGTTGAGGCTGCTGTGTGCTGGTGGGTTCGACCCCGTTGAGGATCTGAGGAGTGTTGAGAGTTCCGATTTCAGTCCGAGCAGTCGTGGACCTTGTATTTATTCCTGCTGTCCGCGAGGGTGCTGTTTCTGGAGCTGGAGCACTGTCTGATGCAGACATAAGCGAATCGGCACGGCTTTTACCCTGGTAGAGAGTCTGTAAACTCCCAGCTACGCATGCGGAGGTTGTGCTCTCAACGCTCTGTGTCGCTGGTATAGTGTTGGGATGCCATCGCCCTTCATCGCCAATGTCTGTCGAAGAAGCCTGACGGTCCTGACTTTGGCGCAAGCTGGGGTCAGGTTCATGCCGGTTGCCATTTTTTTTCACCATCTCAGCAGCTGCGGCATCCGGACTTGATACGAGCAGATTATGAATCCTCAGACGCTGACCGAGCACGGAAGGATTCGCAGTGTAGACCTGGGCTGATAGTGCGGCGAGATGGGCTAATCTCTCACGACCGAGAGTGACCTTTCTCTGGTCCTTGAGACTGCGTGTATGCTCTCTACTGATCTGTTCATGCAGCTTCAGATCGTTTTCGTTGGGTAGTTGCCTCTGACAAAGAGCACACCGGTATTCACCATTCCTCGTAACATAGCCGAAGGATTCAGATCTTGGTGGTGCTCTTGGGCGACGATCATCTGCAGTCTGGAGCTCCACTGAATCATGCACCTCTGAGAACCGACGTTTTCGAGTTTGGGCAATGCTCGCCTGACTAAGACGAGGTTGGATACCAGTATCATAGATGTTCCATGGTCCCGTCTGAATTACATCCGCTGCAACCCGAGATGTTGTGGCTATTGGGGGCGCCATGGCCCCTATCGTTGGTACATCTCCGACCGGCGATGTGCGAGACGATCCATTGATGATTTGAAGACGCTTTGCAGGTTCTTGGATCGAACTTTTAGACCGAGCTTTCAAAACATCGACCTCTCTCGGGCTCAAGACACTTAGATCCTCGTCGTCGAAGTTGAGCAAAGGTGGACGACGGGATTGTGCTGGACCCTTGGGAGGTGTCTCTCTACCACCGCTGCGGCGACTAGCCAGCTCGGTTTTGAGTAGCTCTGCTTCTGCTGGAACATGCTTTGTAAAGAGGTCCTCAATCTCAGAGAATGTTGCCCCTTCTCCGTAATAAGCCGCGATGCTCGTCAACTCACGTCGGAACTGACGAACTATTAGTTCGATACGTATCTAGGCAGAAAATTGATATCTTACCAGGTCCTCGCCCAACGCAGCGTAAGCTGCTGCCAGTGCCCGGAACAGAGAGTCTCTAAAGTCCCAGATCGGGGGCACGTTCGAAGTTCTGAGTGCAGTCATGGAGGCGATGGCTCAAATCGAAGAAGTCAGTCATTGACATGAATTGAGAGGACCGCGAGAAACACATCGAAAAGAGTGTTGGGTGGACGTGTGTCTTTGATGCACGGCGCCCAAACTACTCCAGGTAGCCATGGAGTGGAGCGCGTTGAAGCCATTGGAATTTGTGATCGAGGGTGGCGAGGAAGCAAGGGGGAGAGAACTGAGAGGGAGGGCGACGGTCTGGGTGGTCAAGGCTTGCAGGATCGTGGTGGAGCAGCGCAGTCTCGGCAGCGCAGCGAGCCAGTTAGCGGTAACACTGTCATTACAAAAGCGAACCACAACCTCCACCAGACTTGGAATCGGTTGCTGATTGGAGCACAACGGGTTGTACGGGGTACTCGCAATGGAACAAGGCATTTCTGTCTGCAGGAATTCTCAATGTCACATGCTCTTGATTGCGCCCAGTTTGAGCAGCGATACCCGCTACCGCAGTTCCTAGCCTCTCCCTGTTGGTTTCGCCTTTGACCCTCTCGTCCCCGACTTTGCGAGATTCCGACCAGGTGATCTTAACTTGTTTTGGCGAACCTGATCGAGAGCATTCGGCACACAACGACCAGGCACAGTGGGCGTAGGTGTGCATGCCGCTGCATCTGCAGTGGTGCGAATCGCTTCACTGAGAAGACCCAGAGGAAAAGGTGGATTTTCCACACCTCATTCATGCTTTGGTGGCCACGATTCAGCGCCATCTCTCAGCCTTGACTGCGTTGCCCTAGCTGGAAATAGGCATAGGTTCACCTTGTCCACAAAAGAATGGAGATGCACAGGAGAACTCGAGCAGGCTCGAGTAGAGAGTGTGCCTTGCACCCTGCGACTGCTACCTGTTCAACACCATAGATCCCAACAGTAGCTCCGTAAGTGGCACTCATCCTCACAGTTGTGGTGGGAACATCCCCTGTGTCTGCAACGAAAGGAGGAAGGGCAAACGATGTCAATCATGACGTGTGATCCAATTGTATTCAATTATCGATTCTCCTCAGCTATCTGACGTGTTTCGAATGGTATGAGCGATCCGCCTGTTCCCTGCGTCCAAGATGACATGGCAGCAGGATTGATCCGGCGACAAGAGTAACAGTCGCTGCACTCGTCACGGTCCACGGAACCCATTCGAGGCAATCTCTCCTCAAACGAAATCTCAGCTCAACCATATCCTATTGTCTCATACCATGTCCCCTGCAAGACCCTGGCAGAAAAGGCTTATGTCCCTGTGCGAATGAAGTTTATGACCCTCCCCCTAAACACGCCGTGAGTGACTGAAGTTGGTTCAGGCTTAGAGATCGTAACTTGTGAGTCTCGTCCATAGTCAGCAGTCGGAAAGTTCGAACAGGACACGCATCATATACCGGATTTCAAAGTGAGCATTCCTCATTCATCTTCGCTGTGTTCGACCTCACCCTTGACGGCAGCACTCTCATCTTCTTCAATCTTTGTCTTGACTTCAGGCCATGCGTCGGCTGGGGCTTCTTTCTTGACATTTCGCTTTCTCTTGACGGCGGTGTTGACCTTTTCTCCGTCGCCGTCGGTGCCTTTTCGCTTCCGTCCAGATGCAGGCTTGCCAGTAGGTGTCTTTGTGGTCTTCTCTTTGACTGGGGTCGCGGGATCACTGCTCACAGCCGCATCGTCCTGCTGAAGCAGTTTTTCGCCCTCTTTCTTCAACTTGTAGAATTTTTGGCTGCATGTTTAGAGGTTAGCATGGTCTCAGACCTGAAACAAGTAGACGTCGATACAAGGAAGAGGTAAGAGGGAAACGTAGTGAAACCGTTCATAAAGTGTGTTGATACCTGCAGGCACTTGCGTTGAGATCATTACCGAGCCTGTCAGCAACCCGAGGCCAAATCCTAGTCGCTGGTGGGTTCATCTCCGCAAGGGCAAAGAGGAGCAAACTGCGCTCCGAAGCAGCATCCCACTTAAATGGCATGATGTAGACCCTGGGGTGATGAAGGATGGGAGGAGGAATTTCTCAAGGGGTAATGGATTTCAATAAGGAGATGGAGTGTAGTGACAGTCAGAAGGGGACGAGATGTTTGCGAGGGCTGATTGTTTTCAACCAGGAGAAAGACAGATGGAGTGAGAGTGGGAGGAAAAGGAAAAGTTGTCGGGGGAAGGGAGAGTGTGAATTTCTGAATCTCAGACGCTGGAAGATTTCTGAGAGAAGAGTGAACTGACCGACACGCATTTGCACTCACTCCACCACCAATTGCCACGGCAGCCTGTTCGAACTTTGCGCGAGAGCAGTTATCTGGCTCTTCGATCATGCTGAAGAGCAAAAGCTTTTCGGTAGCATCATTCCAGGGATTCGACATGGCTGGTGATAAAAGCTCCTCGGAGGGAAATTGAAGGTGATGAGTAGTATTAGGCTTTAACGAAGTTGGAAGAGTGCACACGATATGGGAAAGGCGAAGGCAATAGTGTTGAGAGATAGAGAGTGAAAACATCTGAGGTCGGTTTAAAACGGTGATGGAAGGAGGGAGGCTCAATAGATTAACTGAATGCAATTTCGATCTTTGATTGATTCCTCCTTCTCTTTCTCTTATGCACTGAGTTGAAGTCGAGCTCACTGGTCTCAGATACTTCCACAGAACTAGGCCCCTTTTTTGCTGTTGACAGAGTTACACCTCGACAATCGATGGCGTCGGGCCATTTGTATGGATCGCATATCGTAAAATATCGCTTTTCGTACCCGAGCCCTGTGCTGGACCGAAAATCGTCTCTCTCAATCCGCCGACCAATCTCCATATTCCATACTATGACCCATTTCCTGCCAGCGCTGTACTTACTGGGAAGAGTGACTCCCTCGTGTCCTTGTCGAAGCCACCTTCAACTGGGACGTAAGTGGACTGACGAAGATATAGCAAGGCTCAACAGGTGGTGAAAATCTTGAGACATAGATCATAAAACAATGCACAGCCGGTGTTCCCATCATGCCAACGAATATCACAGACATAGTGCTTTAGTGTCCCAAGTGTCGAGGCGAAACCAAATTCGCCTTTGACTTACCCAGATCACCACCTCGTAAACCCACTTACCCACCACAACTGTATTTATTTTTCGTGTCCGGCTAGACAAATCCATAGTGTAGTCACCCGTAAGTCACATCCTTGAGTCGCGAGCCGAGGGGCAGAGGACAGTTAGCTCGTTCAAAGACGGCTGGCGCTCAGTGTATGGGCCAATCGTAGGTCGAGGAACAATGCGCAGAGGTGTCCGGAAGATATCGTAATCGTGGGAGCTGTTTCACGGATCGAGGCGGCAGATACTTCAGCTGTTCATCACAAGATGAATGGAGTCGCTGGAGCTGTCGCAGGCACCCATCAGCCAGAGAGGGGATCATCAGAACACTAATTAATATCAAAAGTATCGGTGAGAGAAGGACGCGAGTGCTCACGGGGCTGAATTTCTGGGCGTTCGCCTGCCAACCGGCGACTTGTTGCCAAAGCGCCGGAGGAGCCTGGCAAGCCCCTCGTTGCCATTAGGCGCGTATGCCGTATTATTGAATCTGGACCCCACCACTCACTCTTACTCTTTTTGCTGCCACTGTCATTGTCCCATCCCACCAAACACTCCCTTATCCTCTGCCTACCCTTACACGCAATCTGGATTTTGCTTTACGCTGCATTGTCCAGTCTTGCACCACAATCCTCCCGCAAAGTACGTCAGCTTTTCTCTGACAGCATCTCCCATCACCGGTGCCTGTTCGAGACTTCATATTCCCTATCTTTACTTCTTTCGCGCCCCCATCTCTCCAAGCGCCATCTTATTCTCCTCGGAAACTGACAACAGTACCAGCTTCAAACCGAGTCGCATAGGTATCTGGAACTTGAATAAGCAGTCATGGTGAGTGCTTGAACCCATCCTGCGATACCGCTTCCGCTAACCCTGCCTTGTAGCCTGTGTCCGGGTATGTGCATACCATCTGCCTTGAGATCCTATCATCCATTGCGCGCCGCAGTGCCTCTCTAATGCCTTGATCCCACTAGCCTATCTGTCAACCCCGACTGCGTCTCAAAGTTCAATGATTTGAAACTCGGTCGCGGCGGTCCCAAATACATCATCTACAAGATCTCCGATGATCAGAAGGAAATCGTGGTAGATGAGGTCGGCAGCGAGCCGGACTACGACGCCTTCAGAGAGAAACTCATTGGCAAGAAGGAGGCCAATGGCAAGGACCGTCCCTCGTACGCTATTTACGACGTTGAATTTGAGCTTGAGGGCGGTGAAGGCAAGAGGTATATCCAATGATAATCATGTTGGCTTCGTGGATAGGTGTACTGACTTCAGCATGAAGATCCAAGATTGCATTCATCACCTACATCAATCAGGACAACACTGGTGTCAAGGTTTGTCTGCCCTTACAATTTCCCGCAGTTGCCACGGCTAAGATTTTCTGGCATAGTCCCGCATGGTGTATGCCAGCTCCCGCGAGACCTTGAAGAACGCCCTCAACGGGATTGCCATGAACTGGCAAGCGAACGACCCGGGCGAGTTGGAATGGGCCGATTTGCTCAAGGAAGCCAGCAAAGGCAAAGGAACAGTCTAAGAGCAGAATGAATATGGAGGCGGGTTGGACAACACTTCGACGTACCAGCAACAGAACACCATTACCACGAGATATATGTTGGTCTTGTGGCACCTGAGTGCAAGGGCACATCTTCCGACGAGCCGAGCATGGCAAACGGGTAGGGTATGCGCCGTTGGAGCACGCCCGACATTTGATGCTGTGACGAAGATAGAACATTGCAATGTTGAATGGCCGAGATAGATTGTCTCAAACAAAAAGCTCGAAGCATTATCTCTTGTCTGGAACGTTGGAGTCTTCTTAGCCTATTGTGCTTGCACCCGTATGCCTGCGGGAGCCTTCTCCCAATATATGCTCGCCCTGTTCTGGTCACCCTTCTCAGCAAATATACGCCTCTCTGCATGTCTCTGAAAAACAATCGGGCGCGGAGAAGTCCATTTGGTCCATCTTCAGGGTTACATGTCATTCTGGTGCGGCTGATCGGAGTCGTAATTTTGGTATTCCTGAGTACGGCATTACGACGAGCGTCGACGCCGTTTCGTGCCCGGGTAATGTCATTTCAGGTATACATGTAATTTTTCAGTTGCTGTGAGTGAAGCCGCGCACGCCGTAGAAGTGGTAGCCAGCGAAGAGTCAGCGTGTACTCACAGACAACTATTGCATCTCAAGTACCGAGTACAGACGTAATACCAACTTGGAGGCTGTGGGGTGATGGTTGCTGATGTAGCGGTAATTTTACTCAGTGCCAAGGCCAGGGAGCTAGCGAATCCTCTGCAATGTGATTGAACTTAGGATCTCGAAACAACGACCTCAGACAATCATTCTCGCTCCTACCAGGTTCAACCCATAAGCAACCTGCTACGACAGAGGCCGCCGAGCTCCAGGCTTCGGTAGGGTATTCAAAGTTCGACTTTCGTATGTATTGATCGATTTCACACACTTCCAGCAAGATGTATCTCCGCTCCTTAACCCGTGCAGCTCGTGCTTCCACCAGCACCTCGACAGCATGCACGCGAATCACGTCTCCCTCGATTCGATGCTTCCAATCCTCTGCGCGGTCCCTGGCTCCCACTTTTGCAGCTACCCAACAGCTCCCTCCCATGACTAGCCAGTCCCAGATGCGATCGGCCCATGCCATCTCCAACCCTACGCTCGCTGGAATTGAAAAGAGATGGGAAGCAATGCCTCCACAAGAGCAGGCCGAGCTATGGATGCAACTGAGAGATCGTATGAAGGTTGATTGGAACGAGATGACTTTGCAGGAAAAGAAAGCTGGTATGTACTGGTCTCGCCTCCACGGAGGGACGCGGCAGGGGTTCGATGTGCTTGACGAAGCTTCGATTCCCGCTGCTTCCTACAAGAAGCCATGAGAGACCGCTCGGGAATATTTACTGATGCTTTAACAGCATGGTGGATTGCATTTGGACCTCACGGACCTCGTGCAGAGGTGCCCCCGGGCGAATGGACCAAAGTCTGGCTTTATACGGCAGTTGGCATTGGAATTTCGCTGGCTACATTCATGCTCATCCACGGCATGGCAAGACCCCCTCCACGAACCATGACCAAAGAATGGCAAGAAGCTACCAATGAATATCTCAAGGTGAGTCGATCTTTGTATGAGGCTGCCGCGGAGTTCTGGAAGGCCTCGCAAGATTTCTCTCACTTAAGAACCAAGCTGACACATCTACCTACAGTCCGAGAAGAGCAACCCTATGTATGGTATCAGCAGTGAAGGATATTCTGGTCCAGGCCACGTTCAAAGCAAGTCTGCTAAGGCTCAGGGCATCAAGCTTGAACCGGACGAGTAAGCGACGGTGGTGTGAAGGGTAAAGATATGCGGGCTTGCACCAGCGCATCTGGTGGACTTTTGTACTGTGACTAGTATCTCCAGAAAGCAGGGATCTCATTGTGTTTTGTGAATACAGAAAAAAAATCCACAACTTTTCCCTGAAGCTGTGCCTTGCGGCCGCTCTCTGATTCGTGCGAGACTGTACATAGATTAAAACAGGCGTTGATTGAAATCGGTGGCAGAAAGCAGTTCTCTAATTCTACGTACGAGTCATACAAATTCCCGTTGAGCCCTAATATTATTCTAATTTGCGCGGTGACGGCGGTGGTGGCTCTCGAAAATTGACGAGGCACATACTGGAAGATCGGGCCTTGCCGGAGACAAATGGAGGTCCCCAATTAGGTATAGCGCCGAACCGAGCTCAATGAACAGCAACTTTGATTCTTTGACTTCAAGTTTCTTCACTTTGCTCCTGATCCCATACCAACTCTCCCCTCTACCTTTCAATCCTCACCTTCTCGTTCATCTGCAAGCATGCTCAAGAGGTTCGTGTGCTCCCCGCCATACACATGCAGAGCTTCCCGAGTGCTTTTCTGGTCTGTTGCTGACACTGATTGAACAGCGGCATCGCCCGTAGCTTGGGCAGGTCTGCCCTTGCTCGACCTTCGATCTCCCGACGCGCCTTCGAGCCTCTCCGGAGACAAGCCGTTCCAGCTCTAGCACAGCGATGGGCGTCGACAGATTCTGCAAGAGATGGCAAGATTCACCAGGTCATTGGTGCTGTCGTTGACGGTATGGGAAGAAAAATTCCTTTCCTGCGCCCATGGAGCTCCCCCAGAGCTCGACTATCATCATATACATTCGAGATTGGATCGATCAATCAAGCTAACGGTTAATCAACAGTCAAATTCGATACCGAACAATTGCCTGCCATTCTCAATGCCCTAGAAACCGACAACAACGGCCAGAAGCTTGTGCTGGAAGTCGCGGTACGAACACAAAGTGAAATTGTGGCTAGCAAGCTGGAGACTGATGGTAAATAGCAACATTTGGGTGAGAACGTCGTGAGATGTATTGCTATGGATGGTAAGAGAGACCTCTTCGCACGCACACCCAATTGACCATGGCTAACTCTTCCATTCAAGGTACCGAGGGTCTTGTCCGAGGTCACATAGCCACCGATACCGGCTCCCCCATTAAGGTCCCTGTTGGCCCAGGCACTTTGGGTCGTATCATGAACGTCACTGGCGATCCCATCGATGAAAGAGGTCCCATCAAAGCTGACAAATTTGCCCCCATCCACGCCGACCCTCCTGAGTTTATTGAGCAAGCCACAACTGCCGAAGTGTTGGTTACCGGCATCAAGGTCGTGGACTTGCTGGCTCCTTATGCCCGTGGTGGAAAGATTGGTCTCTTTGGTGGCGCAGGTGTTGGCAAAACCGTGTTTATCCAGGAGCTGATTGTGGGTACATCTGACCATCTGGGTTTCGATGACTAACTGTCTGCAGAACAACATCGCAAAGGCCCACGGTGGTTACTCCGTCTTCACTGGTGTCGGCGAGCGAACCCGTGAAGGTAACGATCTGTATCACGAAATGCAGGAAACCTCTGTCATTCAGCTTGACGGCGAATCCAAGGTGGCCTTGGTGTTTGGTCAGATGAACGAACCTCCTGGGGCTCGTGCTCGTGTTGCCTTGACCGGGTGAGTAGTTCCTTGCCCTTCTTGAAACCCTCCGCATCTTTGCGCTGGTGCTCCTCTTTGTGCCAAGATCCCCGCCAAGTCTACTGGTCATTCCGCCAAGACTATCCGCCAATATTCCAATGCGTTTTGATATCGAACTGGATTCTGGTTCCTATGCTAATATTTGTACTTGCTATGGACAGATTGACTGTAGCGGAGGAATTCAGAAATCAAGGCCAGGATGGTATGGATCTATCTAACTTTAAGCATCGGGACATGTTTGCTAACGCTCGTAACAGTGCTGCTTTTCATTGACAACATCTTCCGATTCACTCAAGCCGGTTCCGAGGTGTCTGCTCTGCTAGGCCGTATTCCATCTGCCGTCGGTTACCAACCTACCCTTGCCGTCGACATGGGTGCCATGCAGGAACGTATTACCACGACCCAGAAAGGATCCATCACTTCAGTGCAGGCCGTCTACGTGCCCGCTGATGATTTGACTGATCCCGCCCCTGCCACGACCTTCGCTCACTTGGACGCCACCACCGTGTTGTCTCGCGGTATCTCTGAATTGGGTATCTACCCAGCTGTTGACCCTCTCGACTCCAAATCCCGTATGTTGGACCCTCGTGTTGTCGGCCAAGAACACTACGACACCGCATCCCGCGTCCAGCAGATGTTGCAAGAATACAAATCTCTCCAGGATATCATTGCCATTCTGGGTATGGATGAATTGTCGGAAGCCGATAAGTTGACCGTCGAACGTGCCCGTAAACTGCAACGTTTCCTCTCTCAACCCTTCACCGTCGCCCAGGTCTTTACTGGTATCGAAGGCAAGCTTGTGGACCTCAAGGACACGATCAGCAGTTTCCAGAAGATCATCAATGGTGAAGGCGACGACCTACCGGAAGGTGCCTTCTACATGGTGGGCGACTTTGAGAGTGCCCGGGCCAAGGGTGAGAAGATTTTGGCTGAGTTGGAGAAGTCGTAAATGGTCGGCTAGAGGTGGAGAGGAGCAGAAGATGAGCCTGTCATGCAAGAGCGAATCAAGCTCGAGTCTCGAAATGCATTGCATCAAGCACTGTGGGGGAAACAGGGAGTGGGAAGTGAAGAAGTTAGAAGGAGAGGAGAGCAGGAATCTTGTACATTGACCATCCTCCTTTTATTCCTGAGATCAAAATTTTCCGCTTGTTTTGTAATTTCTGCTGTATCTGATGCGCTGATAAACCCGCTCGCCAGTTGGTGAATCTCGATGTAGGTGAATGGCTTTACAGGCACATTGTTGGTGCCCCAGACTACTAACTAAAGGTGTCGCAAGCAAGTGTCGGGGTACTTTGGATTGGCCTTGTTTTTCCGATCTATATAGATAGAGGGTGGTGGTGATGTCTGGTGCATTGCAGATAAACTACAACATGACATGTCCGATCTGAAGTCGCTGTGAATCCCAGGACGAGCAATTGAGTGTCACTCCTAGCCATTGTTGCCAGATCTGGTCTTTGAGATTCATTCTTCCTATTCATGGAAACCTATTGTCCACATCCTGACCTTGTTCCCCTCAGCCTTTACAGTTCATTTTATCTATCTCTTCATCTTCACCTTCATCTTCATCTTCATCTTCATCTTGGATCTCTTCTTCACACGTTTATAACACATTCGACTTGGATCTGCATGCACCCGTGCTACCCTACGTCCATTTCAAGTCTCATTGAAACATATCTGAAAAAAGAAAACAGGTTGATTGCTTACCACCATGGCCGGGTCTGAAGAGGACTGCTTCTGCAAGGGGTCGATCCCAGTGAGGAAGACCTGCCTGTTGATGATGAAGCTGTTGCGCAGCATGACGATGGATTTCAGACGTGAGGTCTTTGAAGGGATTGCCCGGGAGATGGACACGGATGTGGACTCGTTGTTGTGAGTACCACCTCGTGTGCAACCCATCTAGTGATTTTGTGTGTGTGAGAGAGAGAGGGAGATAGAGAATCTAACATTCAATCTCACCCAGCTCTCTGTATCACAAGATCTGCATCAGCAAAAAGTTGGCTCGACGGCTTGGATGTCCTGACGCGATCGACAAGAGAGAACGACTTCGGCGAGGACAGAAGAAAAGAAATCGAGAGAGGTCGGCGCAGCGGTCTATCAAGAGGGAAGCTCGAATGGTGTCTGAAGAGGAACAAGAGGCCAAAGACACAAAGGACGCCGAAACGGGGATCGACGAAGAAGAAGCAGCAGCAACGGTGACAATTGGTGTCCCGACTATCAAAGAACAGGACCACGAGGGCCTTGAAGCAAGAGAGTATAGTGGCCTGGCCCAATACTATGGTGAGTTTGATACGACCATTTTCTCTTGTGTCAATCAATGATCACTAACAGCCTGGGATATATAGGAGGTTCTTCGCTGCTTGACCAACACCAACGATTCCCGTTTGAAGCTGATGACGGCGAGTTGATCCATGAGTTGGACGAGGACAATCTTCCCTGAGCGCTGGGCAGTGACTGGTGGTTAATGCCCCAGGCGCATCACCAAGCGATTAGTGCGTGGCAGAAGTACCCTACAGTCGGAATGGATAACGAGGGGAATGGGGCATTCAGGAAATGAAACGGGAGCTTTTTGGGGATTTTCCCACTTGCTCTGGGTAGCGATTGGGAATTCTTTGGCGATGGTGAAATGGGATGGAGGATGATACTGTGCTGTCGATAACATCTCCATTACGAGATACTCCACAACATCTTATGAAGCTGCCCAAATGGGACTGGGGTAGAAATCCCAGAGGATCAAGGCTTGTGAGATAATAACTAATGAATGGGGCCGTCGGGCTGGTTTCTCGACCCGAGACGCCGTCCGTAATCGTTCTCTCTAGATACTAGGGAACATACGGGATCCAACTCTACTCGCTACATTGTTGATCTAGCTCGTCGTAGGATGATGGGTAAACATTATCCACATGTCCATATCCCCGACATTGTCTAGCAGGATTGGCCATTACCAGCATCATTAGCCACCCTATACCTACCGGCTACATTTGTCCATCTCTCCGGGATCTTCGCCCTCTAATACCAAACTGTCCACCCCCTCCGATAGCTCTGCAACAATCCACCATCCACCATCCCCTGGTCGCCTGGTCCCCTAGTCCCTCCATGTCAAAGCTCTATCAATGCCACTCACTCACTCCTTGCTGCGATGCCCTTTTCCAACGCCGCGTCGCTTGGCCATGCGCTTTCCCATGCGTTGGACCAGGCCTATCCATGACATGGACTTTTTGTGCTTCTTGGTTCTCGACTCCCCCTTTGTCTAACTGCGCACGGCAGGCGGGTCAGTCAGACGCAATCATCTTGAACATGCCACCATGCCACCATGCCACCGTGCGTATCTCGGTGGCGCGGTACTTGAGTGATGGTACCTTGTAGGAGTGAGCGATCGGCATTTCTCTCTAACAGTTTACTTCGTTTTCTTTTCGTCTTCCTTTCCTGTCGTCCTCTCTTATCTCCTCTTTTGCTGTCTCACACATACCTGCCAGGGGTGGCTCGTTTCGCCATGGCAAAGGTCGACAAGACAGATGTACTCGAGACGGTCGAGCCTGGTACGGACTCGGGCGGGTCTATCGGTCACAGCCATGATGCCAAAACGCCCGAATACTCGGAGAAGAACGTCGCGCAGGCGTATCCAACAGCGACAATCGATGGCCATGGCACCTCTCTCAGGGTAAACGAAACTCACCGTTGTGTGTTGTATGGAACAGAAACCCGCTGACTCGTCGGGTTCCTTTAGCGACTCTTCAGCTTCGCTCAGCTTCTCGCCTTTTCCTTGACCTTTATGGAGTCCTGGGAAGTCATGGCCATGTCCGCCCTCATCTTTTCTTGTGTCTTTTTCCCTGAATCACGCGCAGAATTGCCTGTCTGATCAATCTTCATCATGGTAGGAACATTTCGGCCACCTTCTGGAACGGCGGCCCGCAGTCCCTCATCTGGGGCTGCATCGCGGTCGTGATCGGGTCTCTGGCCCAAGCATTCTCCATGGCAGAACTAGGTTCCATCCTCCCCATAGCCGGCGCGCAGTACCATTGGACGCATATCATGGCCCCCGAGGGCGCGAGGAAGTTTATCACTTGGATGCAAGGTGCGGCGCCTCCATGTCCAACAGCTGTTCTTACCACGAAGTTTCCACGCCATTGACACGGAAGCTCATACACAGGCTGGGTGACCTGGTTTGCCTGGGTCTCGGCTCTCGCAGGGAGTGCCTCTGGCGAAGCGGCCCTCCTCCAAGCCCTGATCGCAGAGAACGTGCCGGGATACACGGCCGAGCGATGGCATCTGACCTTCATCATGTGGGCGCTGTTGATCTCCTGCGGGCTCATCAACACCTTCACCTTCTGGCTCGTGCCCTGGCTCGAGCTGGCCTCGGGCATTCTGCATGTCATCTTGTTCGTCATCTTCGTCGCCGTCCTGACCGCCCTGGCGCCCAAGCACGACACGACTTTCGTCTTCTTCACCGAATCCATCCTGTCCGGCTGGGACCGGAGCAGTTTCGTCGCCTTTAACCTGGGCATGCTGGTGCCTGCGTGGGGGTTTATTGGTTAGTAGCGCTGAGAACTTCCTTTTTGCCCTCACCCTTTGAAGAACCCCCTTCTTCTGACAATGCCTCCCCGAAAAAGGATTCGACGGCGTCGTGCACATGTCCGAGGAAGTCCGCCGGGCCAAACACGCCGTCCCGCGGTCCATGGTCCTGACCATCGTCATCAACGGCCTCATGGCCTTTAGCATCATCCTCGTCCTGCTCTACTGCCTCGGCAACCTGGACGACGCCCTCGACGCCTCCTACCCCATCATCCCCATCTGTCTGAACGCGACGGGGTCCATGGCCGCCACAAACGCCATGGTTTCTGGACTGATCATCGTCACGTACTTTGTTGTCGCGGCGAGCGTTGCCTCCGTCTCGAGGATTACCTGGGCGTGGGCGCGAGACGGGGCTCTGCCGCGATGGTTCTCGGTGGTGAGTTTTCTCTCTCCCCTTGCCCTGTTGGGACTGTTGAGAATCACATCACACCTCTCTGGAGAATAGTTCTCCTGTTCTGCCACCTTGGATTTCTGATAGACTGCTATAACAGATCGACCGCAAGCGCCACGTCCCCGTCAACGCGACGTGGCTCCCCATCGTCATCGTGTGCCTTCTGGCCCTGTTTCAAATCGGCTCCACCACCGGCACTGCTTTTAGCGCCTTCACGGCCCTCTCCTCTCTGGGACTATACACGTCCTACATCATCGCCATCTCGTGCATCCTGCACGCGCGTCTGACGGGCCGTCTGACCGACAAGCCCCAATCCCCGTCCGGCGCGTCTTCTTCTTCTACTGTACAGTACGGCTCCTGGCGCATGTGGCCCGGCATCGCCACGCCGGTCAACATCTTCGCCCTCTGCTGGACCATCTACCTGACCATCTGGCTACCGTTCCCCACGACCCTGCCCGTCACAGGCACGAACATGAACTACGCCCTGCCCATCTACGTGTTTGTCGTGCTGTGTTCGCTGGCGTATTGGTTCCTGTGGGGTCACAAGCATTGGCCCGGGTTGGATTTGGCGGCGATAGGCATGGTTGAGGCGCATGAGTAGTGCCACGTCGGACCAGAAAAAAAAAAAGAGGGGGGTCGTGCGAGGGGACGGGAGGGATGCGGAAGAGAGAGAGGGATGGCGAGGCTTTGTGGCACTTTGTGGTGTGCGTCGTATGTTGTCAAGATATGAAGATATGAACACAATCAATCACATGGTGGTAAAGGTTAAAAGAGGACGAAAGAGTTTTAGAAGTGACGCCGATGACGAGGTCAGCTTTTTGCAGATTGTAGGATTCAGCGCCGGCGGCTCTCAGCTCTCAGCTCACAGCTCAGTGTTGGTGTAGGTGTGGCTTATGGCCTGAAGCGTGTGGCGTATGGCCTACTCGTATACGCGCCTCTGGAGTCTAGACAGTCACTACAGTCCAGCCTGGCAGAGACCGCAGAGAACAGACCCGTTGAATCAAGACCACAAAGAAAAAGGAAATCCAAACAAACACAAGAGTCGTGCGCGTCACCTCAAGCGTCGAGAATCTCCAACATTGAAAAGCTAAAGATGTACTCTTAACAGTCGCGCCTCTCTGACGACACCGTCGACGGGATTGATTATCCCACCATTCGTGACGACGTACAGGCCCTTTGCATCGGATGTCGTGGCTGCAAAGGCAACTGCAGTAGGTCCCGTCGTGGCCCGGTCGACTTCGACTTCTAGATCGGAGTCTCGTTGCGGTCGCGATGCGGATGCCTCTTCAGTAGACAACTGAGGCCGGTACAGGCCAAGAATGACTTGACGCTCTGTCTGCGCATTTGCCTTTCCTCCTGAACCGGCACTGGGAGTCGTAGCAAGTAAAGGAAATTTCAGCACCGTGTTCATCGGGTTTGTCGCCACATAGATATTTCCTTCTCCGTCGATGCAGAGGTCGTCACCGCCACAACCACTCGCAAGAATCTCGATGTCGATCTGCGCCTCTGAATTGCGTGCAGCGACTGGCGTTACGCCTTGATGGTCAACCGTTACGCGTCCTAAAATCGCGCGGTCCGAGTTCGTGAAATAGATCCAGCTGTCTCTCCCGTCGTGATGGTATTTGACGCCATTGACCCCCGGCCAGGGCGGTCGTGTCGTCATTTTCCCCAAGAGAGCGTGCTCGAGCCAGATGTCCACGTTTCCTCTTACGATATTGTAAGAGTACAGACGTCCTTGATACGACTCTGCCATCAAGATCAAGGGTTCTGAGCGGTGAGGGACAGCAGTGCCTCCGTTGAGCCATGTCGCGGCCGGAACTGGGGCGAGGCGCTTGACTTTGACTCCAGTGGCCACTTGGCCTGTGGCCGAAGTCTTCGCAGGGCTCGCATATGGGAGAAATGAGCGCATGTCCAACACGTAGACCCACCACGTGCCCTTTTTGCCATGAATACCAGAGAACAGGTAGAACAAATCCGGTGTAATTGGGGATTCAACGATTGCCTCCGCGGCAGGGGTGGATGCATAGGAACCATGACCTTCGCCTTCTCTTTCTTCTTGCTCGTCAGGCTTGTCAACAGCCAATGACTCCTCAACCTGCGCGTCTTCGGGCGCAAATTTGTGAACCAGCTCCACGGTTCGTTGGGTGGTCCCATCCTCTACGTGAGGGTCAATATACCAGATACTCCCACTCAACATGTCGGAGACGAGGATCGAGCCATCACGACGCACGGCAAGGTTCTCGAGAAAGGAGCCAGGAGGGAAAGTTGCAATCGTGCTATACGTTGGCGGGCGTTTGGGTAGAGACCCTGTGATGTGGACAGGAAGACTATTACCCTCTGGATCGGCTGGGGAAGACATGACAGGTGGGGATTGAGAAGGAGAGTAATGAGGTGCGGCGAAGACAACCGGCAAGCAAGAGTATCGAGGAGAGACTTGGTTGTCCAGGCCTCGAGCAGAGCATGTGTCTTAATAGCAGACATGGTGCCTTGCGTTGAACCATGCTGAGAGGGAGGCGTTCGGTCGGGTTGCGGACCTCACACTCGAGCTCTGTCTTCCTCCTTCAAAGCTTTCGATCTGTATGTTTGTAAGCATGATGAATTACTCACCTTCATCTCGCGAATTTGAGACTTCACTAGCTCGGCTTCAGACATCTTCAGGCAAAACCCTCGTGCTTCAGAACGAAAAAGCCGCGGAAGCTTCACCTTCTCCTCACCAATGCCCAGATGTGGAAATTTTGGGAACCCAACAACAATCTTGTGGAACACCATGCCGCGCCGTGAAACATACGTGGTTCATCTGCTGAAGACCTGCTTGGCTGGCTCTGCCAGTTCACGCGGAGGCCAGGAATGATTTCGAAGCTGTTGTGCTGTTGTCAGGATGAATTGTATGTATGTTGTTGGAAGAGGGGACTGAAGCAGCTTTTGCCTTGTCACTGTTTCCGCCCGCAGCCTCACCCGCAGCCTCGACCACGCAACAACAACGGGTATATAATTCAAGATCATTTTGGATTTATTATTTTTTGTTTTATTACACTGGTATCTGCACAGCTGGAGAGCTACAACTACAACTATGATACAACGCCAGATCGCGCTAGCCGTTGCACTGCCATACAACACGACTTATGCCATCCATCCCCACACCGGCACGCGACCAACTCCTCTTACCACCATCCCTGCGGTGTAGCTGTCCCTTCTTTTTTCTCTCTAAGCCCCATTGCCGCTTGAGCAAAGATCTGATTTTGTAAGATAGACAAGATTTTGAACTTGAGTGGAGTGTAATGTAACAAGCTTCGTAAATATACAAAAGAGGTAGATCAACCTGTTTCTCCGAACGAGCAAATCTCCTCCAGCTTGAGTTGAGGGAGGGGAGCGATCGTGAGAAGGTGGTGATTGGGAGGACCCGACGAGACGGTGTTGCGGATTGCTGCTATACCAAATGTGCGAATGTAATCGCTGGAACGCAGGAAGAATCGCAAGTGGCTGTAGGAAAGGGTGAGGAAGGGTGGATGTAGCCTTCCTCATTTGACTTGGGAATTGTTTAGAAGCCGCCCATGCCACCCATGCCGGGCATACCGCCACCCATAGGCATTGCAGGCTTCTCTTCTGGTGCCTCCACGATGGCAACTTCGGTGGTACCCAGTAGCGACGCAACGCCAGAGGCATCAACGAGTGCGGTACGGACGACCTTGAGGGGATCGACAATACCCTTGCTCAGCATATCAACATATTGTCCACTAGCAGAGTCGAAGCCCTTGTTGAAGTCGGAACCGAATTCGTCCATAAGCTTGCCGACGACAACGCTGCCTTCCAGACCGGCATTTTCAACGATTCTCCGGGCGGGACGTGTGATGGCGTTCTTGATGATGCTGACACCGAGCTGTTGGTCGAAGTTGGAAGGCTGGACACTACCAAGGGCATTTGCAGCGGCCTTGATCAAAGCAGTACCACCGCCGGGCAAGATACCCTCCTCAACGGCGGCGCGAGTAGCGTTCAGAGCATCGACGACACGATCCTTCTTCTCACCCACTTCAACCTCAGAAGCTCCACCAACCTTAATGACGGCAACACCGCCAGACAGCTTGGCAAGACGCTCTTGTAGCTTCTCCTTCTCGTATTCTGAGGTCGACGGGTCAGCCATGACACCACGAATCTGTTCGCAGCGCTGGGCAATGGCGTCTTTGCTGCCTTCACCGTTCAAGATGATGGTATCTTCCTTGGTGATGGTGATGCTGCCGGTCGAGCCCAGCATGTCAGGGGTGGCCTTTTCCAGCTTGATATCGAGTTCATCCGTGAAGACAGTAGCATTGGTCAGGATGCCGATATCACCAAGGATGCTCTTGCGGTTGTCTCCAAAGCCGGGAGCCTTGACTGCGGCCACTTGAAGTTGTCCTCGAAGCTTGTTGAGAATGCAGACAGCCAATGCCTCGCCATCGATGTCCTCGGCAATGATGACAAGAGGTCGGCGCATTTGGGTAGACGCCTCAAGCGCGGGGATAATGTCTTGCACAGCAGAGATCTTCTTCTCGGAAAGGAGAATCAAGGGCTTCTCAAATTCGATCTTTTGAGCCTTGGTGTCGGTGATAAAGTACGGTGACGTAAAGCCGCGGTCAAAGCGCATGCCCTCAGTAACCTCGAGTTCGTCTTCGATTGTTTTTCCTTCCTTGACCGTAATCACACCCTCTTTGCCGACCTTTTCCATGGCATTGGAGATGAGGTTTCCAACGTGGGTATCTCCGTTGGCAGAAATGGTAGCAACTTGAGCAATCTCGGCACTGGTGGTAATGTCCTTCTTATTCTTTTGAAGGAAGTCAACGACTGCGTCAACTGCCGCCTGGGTGCCTCTTCTCAAGTCCATAGGATTGCATCCAGCAGCGACGTTCTTGACGGTTTCGGAGAAGATGGCACTTGCGAGCACGGTGGCGGTCGTGGTACCATCACCTGCGACTTCGTTCGTCTTCGAGGCGACGTCCTGGATGAGACGGGCTCCGAGGTTCTCGAACTTGTCTTGGAGGGTGACTGCTTTGGCGACAGTAACACCATCTGATTGTTTCATTAGCTTTCGGGTAGGTGCTGGCATCGGAAATTATGGATGCTTACCTTTGGTTATCTTGGGTGAGCCGTAGCTTGACTCAATGAGGACATTGCGGCCCTTGGGACCAAGTGTGGTTGCAACAGCCTTTGAAAGAGTCTCGACACCCTTGAGCAGCTGGGCTCTTCCTTCTACTCCGAACTTGAGCTCTTTGTGAGCGAAGCGCAGTTGTTGCAGACTCCGGCCGGCTGATCTGGAGTATGGAGAAGGGGAGGATAGGGAGGATCGAGCTGCGGAGGAGAGAGCGCGCTGCATGATGGGCAAATCAAGTGGACGAGTGACAATGAGGAGAAAGAAAGGGGAAATAGAACAACTGATGAGTTGTAATATGGTAGGAGAGTTTCGAGGTTTTGATGCCAATAAAAATTTGGAGATTCTCGAAATCAACAGAATCGCAAGATGCAGCATGATTCCACTTTGGGAATAGTCGCTTGGCAACCAATCGGAGCCTTGCCGCCGCCGCCTCCGACTCTTCCGAATAAAAATCCTCCCTGCCCATTTCCACTGCGACATACTTGTACGGAGTACTGGATTTACCTCGTAGTGCTCTTATTGGTGTGGCCGGAGCTCGTATAATAGCCAGCGTGGAAGCATATCATGGCAAAGGAAAAGAAATAACAGTGGAATTTGATCCGATATGTCTCATGGTTGACATTTCGAAAAGCTCACACTTCTATCTTTTTTTTTCCAAGTACATGGAGAGAATGGGAATGCACCGGTTCATAGCCAGCTGTACGTGAGTTCCACCATACGTTCCAGTCCTTGACATCTTTTTCCGTGCTGAATTCTGGTAGTCGACGTGATCTCCGGTGTGATCCCTGTTGGTTCATACCTCCCTTTGCTAGGATCACTTGATGATATCCGACCAAAAACACATGCTCTCCGTTGATGCTTTTTTGCCCAGCAAAAGAACTGGAACAGAAAGAGAAAACAATACAGATTGCGTGATTCCATCATGGTCTTAAACTCCTCCCAGACTACACCACGAGTGCTCAGTGCCTTGGAATATCACTTCACTTTTCACCGTCATGCAAATTCGTTGTCCTCAGGTATCTTCAGTTGTGGGTAATGTATCATTGAGTGACTGTTTAATCCTGTCAGCGATGGCCTGAACTCCGTCTTTGCATGAAACTCACCGACGCCTAAGCATCATCGACCAGATAGTCACTAGCGTTCCAGAAGATATCATCGTTTGCCGTGCTGTTCATCATGTCCTCCTCGTTGATCACATCGCCGGTATTACCATGTCCGAAGCCGGTATGCGGGGTCAAGAACTCGTTGTCAGACATCGATGGAAGAGTCGTGAACATCATGCCAGCAGCAATCGAATTGTTGCGGGATGAATCCGTGGACGAACCGTACATGCTCACGCTCTGGAACTGCGATGCTGGATACGCTTGTGGCACTGGGTTCAAAAACGTGGCACCGGAATATCCGAGCCCAGGAACCGAGTATGGGTTATGGATGAGGCCGACACCAATGTGACCATGATGACCGTATGTTCCGGCATTCGAGGTATTGAGGTGGGTGAAAGGAGCCTGTTTCGCAGTCAGCGTAGGTATCTATCAAGACTAAGATGCTAACTTACCGTAGTGGTGGAGATGATCTGGCCATATGGGAGACCAGCCACATTCTGCTGACCAAGAATGTGAGAGTCTACTTGCTGACCACCGAGGATGATGGTTGACGCTTCGCTAGACGCTTCATCCGTGTCATCACTGCCACCATCGTCTTCATCAACGTCAATACTACCATAGCTGCCTTCAGCCTCTTCGTATAAATATTCCGGGACTTCCTCGTCAACACCAGCTTCATCGTCGGAAGGTGCGGCCATGATAGCATAGTCACGCTTGATTCCACGAATGCGACGAGTAGAGCCAACGAGTTCCTCTTCCTCCTGCTTGATAGCCTTGTGGTTATCAACAATTGTTGCTTCGACCGACGAGGGGGTGGGAGATTTGGCTTCATCGAGAGCTGCGGAAGCTTCAGCAACCTTCTTCGCCTTGGTCTTGTCGTTGCGGCGCTTCTTAGGTGTAGGATACTCCTCATCGGAATCATACAGATCTGGAACAGGTTCGTTATCTTCTTCGTCACTTGACTGGTGACGACGACCTTTGGCTTTCCCTTTTCCCTTTCCTTTGGATTTCGGTTCCTTCTTCACCGGCACATCTTTCTCTTTGGGAGCCTCCTTCTTACGAGCACGCTTGGCTTTGTCATAGATGGATCCCTTCTCTTCACCTTCGTCTTGGTCGTCCGCGTCCACCGCGGGAAACATTGGAGGGATTACCTCGAGCTTGACCTTGTTGCCTGCGTTGGTGTAGATCTTTGATAGTTCTTTTGTGACCATCCCACGCTTCACAGCTGGTGGCACAGGAATACCATGATGGGCCATGAGGTTTCGAAGCTTTGCAAGGTGTTGAACGATGGAGCCTTCAGTGAAGGTGGGACCCATGAGAGTCGCAACACGACTCCCTATGATTCCGGTCAGTGGAGACGAAGCTGTTGGTTTCTGTACTTACATGGAATCTTCAGGCCAGCTTCTGCACACGCATACTGAACACAAAGCAGGACTCCCTTGTCGAGATCATCTGGATGTTTGTTAGCAAGATGTATGCTGTTGGCATTTGGCAACCTCAACTAACCACTCCAACGATTGAGCACACGCTTTGCAGGGCGGTTTTTGGCAGGCATCTTGTCTTCTGCAAAGGACCAAGTGCCGTTAGTCTGTTGTTCTGTGTTGTCAGTCGAGCAAGAGAAAGAGTGTGAAGGGAGGATGTTTGTGTTATTTTGAAGAAGGGACGTGATGTCTCAGCACCGTGGTGAATCTCCAGTTTTGCAGGCTTGGTGATACCAATTTCGTCGGGTCGAGAGACTATCGCGAGGGCTTGAGACGAATCAAAACGTTGGAAGTCCGTCACTGGCACTAATTGAAAGCGGAGACGAGTGTCGAAACGGTGAATAGCAGACAATAGGATGAAGGATGGCGCAAGAGGAAGGTGGTTTTTGTGTGGGCAAATGTGCGTTGTGTTGAACAGCTGCTATTTTCTGCAATGGCACTTACCAAACAGGACACAGCTGCCGCCAACCAAGCCTTGACAGCCCTCAGATCCGTTCCGAGCACGATGACAGACGTAGAAAGGGTATGAAGAGAATATTGATGAGGCAAGAGGGTTGTGAGAGATGTGATCTGGAGGTATGGGCTCTGTCGTGGGCAGAAAGATACAGGGGGCAGAAAATGGGGGAAAGTCTTTGTCCTGAAGGGGTGTTGGTAGTGAAGACCACCAGAACAACAACGAGGTCGCCAACGCCCATCCCCTTTGCGTGTTGAGTGCGCGTGTGCTCCTCTTCGACATGACACTGATAAAGGAAACTGAATTGCTATTGCTCTCCTCTGGCCCTTCTTTCTCTTGATAACCTTCTTCAAGGCTGGAAACCCCCGCGAAAGAGGTGCTTCACCCTCCCATAAGTTCGGATGGTGTTTGAAAAGGCACGATGTCGACCGCCCAGTTCATGTCCACCTGCTGACTGAGAAACAGGAAATCGCCCTCTTCATACTATCTGACACCGTCAGTTGCCTCTGCTTCGCTGCGCTTCACCTCGTTGCGTCTTCGGAGCTGGATACCTCTTAACTGGTCAGTCCACCAGGACAACACTGCCTTTCGACTTCGACACAACGTCTTCTTCTCGGTGTCGTCCCGCCGGCTTTGGAACCGGCACAACTTCCTGTGGCTGGGGTGGAAGTCTTACCGGCACTGCTTCGACTGGAAAAGGAGGCTGAGTGATCTGACTTTTTGGGTTGAGATAGTCTTGGTTGCTGTATATCTCGAAGCCATTGATGGAACCGCCACTTCCCTCGCTTGTGAATGGCCAAGCCTCCCTGAACGCAGGCGGAAAAGGAGGATAGCTAGGTACATCCGGTACCAACTGGTGACCAGTGCCACATGGGACCGCCGGGAATCCAGCAAAGGGAGGTCGTTGCCGTGCCAAATATGGACCACCTTGGAGTACAGGACTGCTGGGAACAAATAGGGATGTCGGAAGAATCATCTGTGGCACACCAGTTGGACCGGAAGGGTTTGGTCGGAGAGATCGATTGAATACTTCTGCCTTTGCCGGTGTGGGTTCAGAATCATCACCTCGTGGATCCGTGATGGTCATCGTTGCTGGCCTGGAGCTTTCGTCGACTCTCTTCGACCTCCGAGAAGGGGCAGGGCTGTGTCTCTCCAGTTTCTGCTTCTTTGACGCCGAAGGCTTCTCTTCCGGATGCCTCGCCTTTTGCTTTGGCTGTGTTGGTTTCGAGACCGGGCTGGTTGCTGAAGCACTGGTAGAGCTGACTCCATTGGCCTTCGCGAGCCTCTCGTATCGTTTGGCTCTTGTGGTCCGTCAGCAGGTCAGGTACAGCCGCATCAGCACGATACACTCACGCCGCTCCTTTGCTGATCACTCCACACTCTTTGGCAACCTCCATGAAATCGACCTGTCGCTGTCAGTCATCTGGATCCTGGTGCGATAGCAAAGGACCTCACTCACCCTTCCGTGCGTGGCATGTTTGACGCAGCTCAAGAGGAACCTCAACTGGTCGTCTGGCGTGGCTCGAGACATGGAAACACCGGTGTGCGTCTGGACGAAATAAAGAGGGATCTGTTGATGAATGCTGTGGCCGGGGCTGCAAATATGAGGTGAGTTGACGAAATGCTGTCAGAGGAGTACGGTAGGAGAAACTGAGGATGTTGAAAGATGTTGTGAGAATTAAGTACATGGATCGATCTTCCATCTGCAAAAGTCTCTGTCAGCTGTTGTCTTTCTTTCCTTGTGATGTCTTTGATTGTTCAGGGAAGAATTGCTAGGATCAAACTGCTGGGTTTTGGTCCGACTGTCTCAAAGCCAAAGGAACAGCACTCACAATTGGACCTGGTAATGACAGAGGCATTGACGAGGTGACCAAGCACAAGGAAAGGCTTTGACTGAAGGGACGTGCTGCCAGACAAGACAGAGGATGGTGGAGCTTGCGGCATGTTGCTTGCTGCGGGCCAGTGTGGTGTTTGGAGAGGCAGGTCTTTGTCTCTGAGACGATCTTACGCGGACCACGTCAGGGTCGGTCCTGGGCTCGGCGCGGTTTGAAATTCTTTGATTGAACGCCTTTCCAGCGTTTGCGCTCCTCTGGACTCTTCTTGAATGCTTCTGTCAGGCGCAAAGACGCATTGCGCGCATAAGATTATCTGAATCTGTCAATCATGTCACTCTTGACAGCCTCTTACTATCAGTTTCGGCCCTAAGCACGATCATCGAAGTATGAACCTCCGGTCTTGGGAGTTTTTATCTGAAGTATCACGCTTGAACTACTTGAGATGCCCCTACTAACGATCATAGGAAGATGTGATTCGGACCAGGCAATGGGATATTCGTATTTATCATATCTGAATGCGCCCTGAAGCATCGGCACAGACATCTTAACATCGTCCTTACCACGCCAACCATTGTCCACAACATCAGCATAGTCGGAAGAACGTCGGTGTTCCGAAGGCATGTACCAGTGCCCTTTTCGCTTGCTTTCTTGTCGATGGATTGAAGGATGGGTTGTGTCACTTGCTTGTCGCTCCCCTCTTCTCTCACAGCAAGAGACAATCAGGAATGTCCGTCAACTACGTTGCCACATCAAGATGCCTGGACTAAACAGTCTCCTTTATTCTCCGCCTCTACTATGTTATGGATACTGCGCAACAACGCTCGATGCTTGAAGTTGCATCCTGGGCCGGTATCTCTGAACCACAATGCAGGGCAAATCTGGTTCAGCTCCTCTTCATTGTGCATGAGCCCAGCTAGCCAGCTCAACTGTGGATATTGAGATCGCATGCACTCCGATCTTGTTGAGATCTGGTCGGGCTGCTGTGCTACGATGCATACACAGAATACATGCAAAGAGTGGGTATTGCTGGTTGGAAATATGCGGTTGTCGCACAGCATTACAAGGAGCAACCGTCTTCCTTCCGCTTTGGAGCACGCCTCGAAGCAGCACTATCCCGAGCCTTGGAATATTCGGACTGATCTATGTAGTCTCAAACCCGTGTGGCATTTCATACTAGAGCATAATGCATATGGCGCCCTACATCGACAATGAATGCACATGACCAGGAACTGTCAAGCACGGCTGTCTGTACCATTCTCGATCTCATGTCCCTCATAGGTCGTCTGCCGCAAAAGGTCAGGTCCCCTTGCCTTTGAGGTATTGATGCACGGATCTTTCGAAGCAGCAACTTGAGTCACAAAGCCCTTACATCAAGCTCTAAACGATTGCCGTCCACGACCATTCCAAAAATGCGGGAAATTGCACAGGCAGCCACATACTTGGATAAGGCTCGCAATTCAGGGGATCAGTGGTACGCCACGGTTAGGAACAATATTTCTCCGACGGATACCTAGAGGCTGCCTTCCTGTGAAGGTGCCTTGGTTGACACAGACGGAAATCAAGCTACCAGTGCAGACCAAAGGCGGTTCCCTTGTCTCATGTCCGAAGAAAGTGATGTAATCCGTGGACGCTTTATCATCCCTGAGCGTTTTGTTTGTTTGTTGTCCGCATCCTCGGTGTTTGCTCCTCAGTGACGTCTGAATTTTACAGGGGCGGGGAGGCCGCGCCCTCGCCTGACTGTTTTCTTTTGTCGAGAACGCAGGCTGCTTTGATTGCTAAGTGCATCCGTGTTTTATTGGTGAGGCTCAGTTCCGCCTCATCGGGAATGTGCATGGAATATCGCTTCAGCCTCCTGTATCTCTTCAAGGTCCCAGGATAGAATGGTATGGAGTGGATCTGTATTCCGCTACCACCAAAATTGCAATTACAACGGGTTGCAATTATTGGGGAACTTTTGCGCAAGCTCGTAAAGGCTTGAGTGATCTATAGCTCTTCTGGATAATAGTGGAGAACCAATGTCAAATGTACGCTTACGAGGTGCTGTTCGTGCATACGGAAGTCTCAGGTATCTTGCCCACAAAAGATGTATACCTCCAATCACTGCGGACAAATGGAAAAGGTTATGGATACCGTGCAGTGGTAGGAGTGGCAGAGAAGATAAAATAATGGCAGTCGGTGGGATGGAATGTTCGGTCAAAGGACATGGTGGGTGCAGCCACTGCCATTGGCTGACGTAGTTGGTTTTCCCCGAGATTTCTGTGGTGGTGGTGAGACGTGCAAAAGCAGCTCTTTTGGTGCCTGGGACTGCGATTCCATGTTATCATCCTAACTAACATTTAATTCTTGCCAATCCACGGAAAAAAACACTTCCTCGAATGCTTCGAGAGCTTTAAAAAACACATCATAAGCATGCTTCCTCCGCCTAGATGACCTCCGGGCCAATGCGCAAGCTTCCCACTACCATCACCACCACCACCAAGTGCGCCGCTCCAGCAGCATCGAGATGGGCTTCCATTTGTCCCAACCAAGCCCAGTTTCTTCGCAGGCACAGGTCAACGACCGCTTCTGGTGGCGGGTCTCTGCGCCAGGTGCTCCCCAAAAGACATCTAGCACAGGTTAGGCCTGAGCCCATATCCGAAGTCTGGTTCACATCCGCTTCTCCCAGATTTGGCCCAGACGACGACTTGCTTGGGTCTCCTGCGCCTGGCAACAGCAATGACCACAAGCCGCCGGATGAACGCTTGATTAGGTTGGGAAAGAGTATGTTTTTGCCCATGACATCTACCCTGGCAGAACACTGTGGAGTGCTAACGTGGCCGTCATAGCATTGCGAATATTGTCGCCTCTCCTCCCGGACATCCTTACCAAACCACTCCCGCCCGAGATCCTGTCTCCCCATATCTCCCTTCACCTCTTTCCCTCGACCCATCCTCATCTACCCGCCGTCAAAGGGCGCGTTGCTTACCGCGCCTCTCTTTGGACTGCCCCAGTCGCCTGGGGCTGCGTGCCTATCGTGGGCAATGTAAAGCTGAGAATCCTCTCGGAGAAGATCGTGCGGACCGGTTTCTCATACGCCACCCCTCCGCCGGAGGACGAGCAAGATCTCAGCGAAGAAAAACTGGTGGTGAGATGGAAGACGGAACCCAAGACGAACGGCCACGGCGACGGCGGTCATGAGGCCACCGCCGCATCGACCACGACCGATTCCAACATCAACCGCGGCCTGTCGAAACTGCTCGGCGGAGACACGCCCATCTTCAACCTGAACAAAGGCGACGACTTTACAGGTCTCTTCATCTTCACGTTCGACTCCAAGGGCAGGATAGCGAGCCACACGATCGAGCACGCCGAGCAGAGCAACGGCTTCGATAAGACGAGCAAGGTCGTCACCCTAACGGACTGGTTGTTGGGCAAGGCGAAATGGGGGCGGAACAAGGAGGACGAGCTCATTCCCGGGTTGGCCATGAGGGTGTGCCGGGACGAATGGAATCTCCGGCGGGGACTGCCTCCAAACTCCTGAAAAAGGGCCAACCACTCTCGGGCTGAAATTGTATATGGTTGTCGACAAGGGTCGGCCGTCCAACATAGGCGCGCACCACGAGCTCACGGATTTTTTACCAGAGCCTCAATCTTTCGAAGACGATGATGTTGAGGCAGCGCCTCCTCCACTGCTGTCTAGGTAGGAATGCACGACGAAGCAAGGCATGTGTTTGGAGTGGCACCTCATCGGAAGCCTTGAAACAAGACAAGTGCAGCTCAACTCTACTCATCCATATCTTGTAACAGATAAATTGTGCAATAAACAACATTACAAGAACTTCGTTATGCCCTAACCATGTCGAGGACGTGGCACTGGCAGGATCTGATGCAGATTCAGCTGGCGCACCTGATCGACATTGGTCACTTTGATCCATCCTGAGTCTATAAACCTATTAAGAGTGATATTGCTGTAAAAGCTGTTGCGCTGGCTTACGAATTTCCTGGACAGACCTCCTGTCACTTGTTAATTGTCCAGCCAGGGAGAACAAATCGTCCCAGAGGTCCTCCATCCACAACTGAAGTCAAAACGTAGACGAGTTGGGTTCAAAGAGTCGATTCAAGAGCAAGGACCTATACGTATCAAGTCAGTGAAACTGGTCCAATGACAGAAAGTTTCAGCCACAGAGGTTTCAAGGGTGCGAACTCACCAGAGCTGTCCTCGTAGGAATGTAGACTTGTGTAAAGTTCTTCCTGTTATTCCACGGCATGTCGGTCGTGAAGAATCTGGTCTCTTTTGCGTTTCTCCCGTGTCCACCGAACTCGGCGTCATCTGTATCGATGACGATCCGATAAACGCCCGGTACATCCACGCCCACTCTATAATCGGTGTAAGAGTTTGTGGGGTGGAAATTGAATATCCACAGGAGACCTGCTCTCTCAAAGACTAGTACTTTGTCGCTTTCGTTCTTCAAAGAGATGTAGGCCTGGGGACTATGGAGCCAGCCATATTTCTCTTCGGTCCACTGCATTGTACGGTCGAATTCATTTAAGAATCTATACCGAAGAAGATGGTCTTCGGTCAGATTCAACTGTCGACGAGCGTACCAGAAGGAATTGTCGTTGCCTGCTCGAGGGAAGTCGAGCCACTCAGGATGACCGAATTCGTTACCCTCGAAGTTGAGATACCCTTCGCCCCCCAAACCGTGGGTAACGAGGCGAATCATTTTATGCAGAGAGAGCGCACGATCAATGGTCGGTGTCAAAGGGGTCAAGACCGACATGTGCGTGTACATCTCTGCATCGGCAAGCCACATCATCAGAGACTTATCACCAACCAGGGCTTGGTCGTGGGATTCAGCATAGGCGATAGTCTTTTCCCCATGGCGTCGGTTGGTCAGGGTGAACGCAATGTTTCCGATGTCCCACTCATCGTCTTTCTTTTCTTTGAGCAGCTTGATGTACATATCAGGGACCGCCATGGCGAGACGGTAGTCGAATCCTATTCCGCCTAGCGAAAGTTTCAAACATAGAGCCGGCATTCCGGATACGTCTTCGGCGATGGTGATGCAGTTCGGGTATATGTCATGAAGCATTTCGTTGGCAAGCATGAGGTAGACCACAGCTTCGACGTCCACGGATGGGCCAAAATATTCGTGGTAGCCTCCGGAGAAGCCGGTGCCAATACCGTGATGAACGTACAGCATCGAAGTAACCCCGTCAAAACGGAAGCCGTCGAATTGGTATTCCTCCATCCAAAACCGCAGGTTGGATAGTAAGAATCGCATGACTTCGTGGTGACCGTAGTTGAAAAGTCGGGAATCCCACAGCTCGTGTCGGCCTTTTCCTCCTTCGTGAAAGTAAAGGTGGTCGCTGCCGTCGAACATATTGAGACCGTCCAGTACGTTCTTGCTTGCATGGGAATGTACAACATCCAAAAGCACGGTGATACCCATGCCGTGGGCAGTGTCGATAAGTTCTTTGAGATCCTCTGGCGTTCCATATCTGGAGCTTGCTGCGAAGAAGGAATTGACTTGATACCCGAAAGAAGCGTAGTAAGCATGCTCCATGATTGCCATCAGTTGGATGACATTGTATCCAAGATACTTGATCCTCGGGAGCATGTTCTTGGTGAATTCCTTGTACGTGGCAACCTTCAGCTCCGGGGAGGAAATGCCCACGTGTGCTTCGTAGATGCGAACGCTCTTGGGGTAAGGAGGGCGAGGATTCTTGAAGACATAACGCTCCTCCTTGGGAGGATTCCATAGCACGGCATCGTAGACTGGGGACACCGAGAGATCTTGGGTGACTCTGGTGATCCATGCTGGAATTCTTTCAATGCGTTCTCCTCCAGGAATGACCATGGAAATCTTCAGTTTGGTGTTATGGGCAATTCCTGGGACGCCATCTTTTGCAGGGATCCTCAATTCCCATACCCCATATTCATTCTTCTTCATTGGATGTGACTCTCTGTTCCAGTTGTTGAACTCGCCGATCAAGGAAGCTTGTTCAGCATTTGGAGCCCACTCGCGATAGATTATCGAGCCGTCCGGCTCGAATGTGAAGCCGAACTTTTCAAATCCACGACTGAACTTCTCCAGTCCACCTTCAGTTTGATTGATCTTCTTTATCCATTCCTGGGCCTTTGCAAATCGATACTTAAGATCTTCCCGAAAGGGTTCGAGCCAAGGGTCGAGTTGTATAACACCTAGTGACATGTGAGAGAGACTCGAGGGTAGCGGGGGAGGTTTTATACCTGTTCCGTCAGGGGGAGCTTCACCGCTGGCCGGTTGAGCCATGACTGAATTTGCAGAGTCCTGGTTCAATGCCATGAGGGGCAATAACAGTGGAAGGCACAACAGAAGCTAGGATAGGTTGCAATAGTCGATTAGGTCGGGTCAAGGGAATACAAGAGCAAGACGTGAAGAAATGGCAAACCCTAGAAGCCCAAAAGTATTTATCGAGCTATCCTGGACGACCGATATCTTGTTGGAGGGACTTTTGTGTCTTGAAGGGAAAAATGTTGGATGAGGTGTTTACCTGGCGCAGGCAATGAGACCACTGGGGGATTGCGGCGAAATTGTGGTTTGAGGGACTCAATAATGACATCAACCCTCAACAACTAAATTGACGTGGGGAAGGTCCCAGCCTGCAAAGTGGCCCAAGTGGTCCATACCCCTGCACCCTCGAGCCTATCAATCGCGCCCATCACTCTCTGACCCGCCACTACGGAAGGGCCGTCATCCCGACAGTTTTTCCGTTCCGAACAGTCCCTCGTTGTAACCATCCAGACTGCGACTGCGCTACTCGATACTCTCGCCCTCGAGATCGCCGCCAGTCTCCATCAGTTCGATTCTTTCACTTCCATCCACCAAGGGCTTCTGGATGACCTTCTCTTGCTCATCGTTGTCTATCTTCAGCCCAATACATTTAGCGATGAAATCGCACAACAGCTCTTCTGCCTCAAGCGCATTCCTTGTCAACGCATGATCATCGTCCTCGAAGAGCTTCAATTGTCGATGGCCCTTTTTGCCGTACGCCTCGTATAGACTCTGGGAGCAGTCCCATCTCAACGTTCGATCACCAGTACCGTGGAGCAGCAACAGTGGTCTTGGAGCCAGCTTCCTTATCCCAGCTGTGCCTGCGGTTTGGCTTGCAACGGTAGCACATCCGATGACACGTTCTACTGACGTTAGATAAAGTCTACAACAGAATGCTTGACACCTACCTCGCTCTCGCCCGCCCACGGTGAACTGCAAGGCATGATTAGTTTTTGTGGTTACTGACGGTGTTCTCATGCCGACTGATTTTCAGCTACGATATCAGCGCCCTCAAGGTAAAGGAAACTCACGACTGGAGCGCCTCCAAATGACCAGCCAACCAAAACGAATCTGCGAATAGAATACTGCTCCTCAAGATGATCCATTGCCGCACTTACGTCTTCCACGCACGGAGTGTCATGGGCCGGATAGCGATAATCGAGTCGAAGTACAGGTATACCCTGTCGAAGACTGGCAAGTTTGTCTCCCACGGAGATATACATTGAAGAAGGACCAACGACGCCTCCGCCTGCCCCAGAAAGCAATATCGCACCCGCCGGCACTTTGTCCTTGTTATCTGTATACCCTGCTGGAAGGTGAAGAAATCCACGCACACTTTTTCCTCCCACAGCTATTGAAAGACATTGCGTCGTACAGAGGGACTTCTGTGCCTGTTTGAGCCTTCTTGACTTGGTTGCATGCTCGAGTAGATTCGTCCCTGTCGAAGTCATTTTGAGTTACGATGGTGTATGTCGGCTTGACTCCTATGCGTATGCTCTTTGCCTTTGAGATGGAGAGGAAATCATTCAGACACAGTTGTGTTTTGATTCACAGCCTTACCGCGGCACATTTCCCTGGTAATATTGGTGCCTTGAGTAGGAAACGTCATGTGGCACACAGATTCCAACCAGTAGATTCGTAGAATTGCATTCCCGACAACATGGGGATATTCTGCAGACAATTGACGTAAATTCCTTCTGCAGTTTGACTGATGCATATGCTCCTTCCCACCCACTCATTCATGGATACTGTGGCTCGTGCTCGGTGCGAAGCAATATTATGCATCGAGTTGAGCAGTGAGAAGGTAACAATATCGGCAAAACTTCGGCACTTATCGCAACTTTCTGTGGCGATTTCAACATGAGGGGAGCGCAGTCACAGAGCTTCGACTTGCTATCGCATCTCCGAATAGTTGGGTTGACTCATACCACCTCTTGCCATCATTTCTCGGAACCAAGACTTCTGCATGCAAACGAGAGGTAGATATTCTGTATTCTCGGGCGCTGGCACTTGAAGCCCGTCCTCAAACAGCACCAATGCGTTCAATACTACCTCTCCCGACCTTCCTTTGCCCTGCACTTGATCGCACCTGGGTTGCATCAACCACCACGTTACCACGGCGGCTCCGTTCATCATATATTGCCTTGAGCAAGCGGCGGCTTTCGACCCGATCGCCGAGGCTGTCCTCGTCGCAATTTCACCGTTCCGATTTTGTCAATCAACCTTTCACCGGAACGTATGAGCCAGGGTTGCCTACGACTGGCCCATTAGGCGGAGCTTCGATTTATGGCTCTCGCCTGACTCCCAAAGCTCTGAAACAGCACCTTGATCAGTTTGTCGTCGGTCAAGAGAGGGCTAAGAAGGTGCTGAGCGTGGCCGTCTTTAACCACTATCAGAGAATACAAGAGTTGCAGAGACGTGAAGAGGAGGAGGAAGAGCTGCTTGCACAGAGGGAAAGGAGAGAGCGACATCCTGTCGAAAATGAGTTTCCCGGCCAGCAATCCACCGTCCGTATGGGCGGGCCGTCTGCTTCACTTAACCAGCGGACAGGTAGCTCGCTCTTGGTAGACACAAGTCCTCTGACCCTGGAGAAGTCAAACATCTTGCTTCTTGGTCCCAGTGGGGTGGGAAAGACATTGATGGCAAAGACTCTTGCCAGGGTTCTCTCTGTTCCCTTTTCAATGTCAGATTGCACACCCTTCACCCAAGCTGGATACATTGGCGAGGACGCCGAGGTCTGCGTGCACCGGCTGTTGGCCGCCGCCAACTATGACGTTGAAAGGGCTGAACGAGGCATTATATGCCTGGATGAAGTCGACAAAATAGCAACAGCGAAGGTCAGCCATGGGAAAGACGTGTCGGGCGAAGGTGTCCAACAAGCACTTCTGAAGATCATCGAAGGGACTACCATTCAAATTCAGGCAAAACCTGAGAGGAATGCTCCTCGGGCAGGTGGTCAGTCGCAGACGTACCCGACTAACAGTCCTTTGGGCGCCGGGTTCTCCTCTGGATCATCAGGCGCTTCGGCTGCTCCAGCGAAAGGCGAGGTCTATAACGTACGAACGGATAATATCCTCTTCATCTTCAGTGGTGCATTCATCGGACTTCAAAAACACGTTATGGACCGCTTGACGAAAGGAAGCATTGGATTCGGGGCCAGTGTACGATCTAGCTCGAATCTGGTCTCCTACAGCCGTGATCAGAAATCTACCACAATTACTCCTGTCCCCATCTTACCGGGATCTCAAGAAGAGGCTCTTTACAAGAAACATCTGCCCTTCTTCACCCCGGCACCAGCGCCAGAGCAGACAAATATGGATGGCTCTCCTCCAGAACCAAACTACTTCAACCCGCTCGACCTAGTCACCCCAGCCGATCTGCAGTCCTACGGCTTCATCCCCGAGCTTATTGGTCGTATACCGACTACTACTGCTTTATCCGCCCTCACCCATTCTATGTTGCTGCGAATCCTTACAGAACCCCGCAATTCGCTAGTGGCACAATATATCACGCTGTTCTCACTCTCTGGCATCGAACTCCGCTTTACCACCCCGGCTCTTCACGTGGTTGCTTCGAACGCCTTGGCGATGGGTACAGGAGCTCGAGCTCTACGAACGGAGATGGAGACCATCCTCGGCGATGCTATGTTCGAAGCACCCGGAAGTAGCGTCAAATATGTTTTGGTGACTGAACGTGTAGCAAAGAGGGAAGAAGGAGCCATCTACTTTGGGAGAGGTCAAGGTGGCAAATTCCATGCTCTTATCGCCCAGGAGGAGGGCGACTGGGAAGACAAGCAGAAAAAGAAAGACCCTGGCCGGAAAGGCGAGTCTGTGTCCGCCAGCTTCGAGGATTGGAGAACGAAGACAACAGTAGCTGCTGGAAGCGGCGGCTGAGATCCGCCACACTTGACAGCCTTGATGAGATCATGACTGATGACGACTGACGAGCATCGAATCAGTTACGATGATTGAGCAATTTATTTGAGATTTCCAGGATTTGTCCGTAAATCGACTTGCCTGGACCACGAACATGAGAATTAGACGACTGAAGCCGAGTTGTATCCTGTTGAGTGCCAGACATCTTCCTTCGGCAGCCTTGCCTTTCTTGCCATCCAGCCAAGATTGTACCTCACCTTTGGGCCGGACACTTCACACACCTCCTTATCCACGTCGCCAAGGAGTCGACCTCAATCTAAGCGGGTCCTTTCAATCCAACATACAGGAATATATTTTTCTATTGCGAAATATCTGTCGCCTTTGGGCAGTGCGACACCGTGACCACCTACGGACAAGAGCTGATTACAGCCACAAAAGTGGACTCACCCAGCGACTGCGGAGTCTTGCTGGCTGCATGGTTGTATGACCATGTGGTGACGGCGTTACGACCATGAGGCATAGGGTAAAAATCCGAAAACCCCCTAGCGGGCTGTCTGCTAACTCCCGGGATCTAATCCGCAGGGAGGCACGGAATTTTTGCTCCCCTGGGGTTCAATTCTGGCTGTGGACGTGAGATTTTTCTCCTGGTCGGATTTTTTTGGGCTGTTTTCAATTATCACGTTCCCTTTGTGGGGTGTGGCAGAAGGTGTGGCAGAAACTGGTGTCATACTGTGGACCAAGGACATCACGGCGCATCGCTGGGACGACAGACTCACGAGCAGGTGGAACGAATCGAATTGACAAGGTTTACTCGTGAGTTTTCTAGCTTTACAAGACAGTGGCTTGACATTGAGAATACCTTACGCCAGTATCGTGAGAGCAGGACAGCTTTCTCTTAGGAGTCGAGGTCATTCGTGTGGAAAGGGGTAGTGGACACTAGCTAGCATTTTGAGGATTGGATCATTGTGTCGGCCTAAGACACGATGCTCAGACTCACAACAAGGGTTTCCTTCTTCAACGGGGGACGACTTCCCTTGAAAATGCTCCTCGACAGGCTGAAAGGAATACGGGAGAGAGCCAGCCACCTGTCTCTAGTCTGAAGAGATACCCGAGGCATGGATACGACCGACTTACTAAAAATAGGCCAATGCCCATTGTCTGTGGTGTGGTCGTCTGACCACCGACGAACACCACTGAGGTACCAAAGGCATACAATACATGCACATACACATCGTCCAGCATTTACCGAATTTGGCATGACTGCTTGTTGATGTATTGGGGGGAAGGATGTCAGAGCCTGGTACTAGATCTCTTTCGTCTTGAATCCACAATAACACAGAAATGCCGACATAGCCAGTTTCTAGTGTGTATATAGGTATATGAGGAAGGGGTATACAGCTTTACGGAACATGATGTTTCGTTGTTACCCGTCCAAGGGATTCTTCGCGAACCACTCGTGCTTCAGGACGTACTGGGTCGACATTCGATTCTCGGGCAAGTAACACATCATCCTGGACAGCAGATCGGCCAGCCTCTTGATATCGTCCTGGGTAAATTCCGCCTTCCTCTCGGGGGTACTTCTGTTGCCGAAGTAAACCTCACCAAGCCAGCTTGAGAGAGAACCCCCCTCTATCTCATCGCGACACTCACCCACAACTACCTGCGCCTGCGACCTCCATTGCTCCGGCACGTCTCCAAACATCGCGATCCACTCTAGAACCAGGGGTGCCTTTCTCGGCATGAAATTGTCGAACGACGACTGTCCCGTGACGAGTTCGAAGATGGTGCATCCCAGAGACCAGATGTCTATGCGCAGGTCCCACGTCGTGTCGAGCAGTGTCTCTGGAGCTCGGAAAACCAAGGGTGTCCGGACTTTTGCGAGTGGCTGCTGGTCGGTGTGGAGGAATGCTTGCTCGAAATCGATGAAGCGTGTGTGGATAGGGCCGTCGATGGAGGGGAGAGGAAATGTAGCTGCTGGCTCGACGATGTGTCGTGGGACGCTCTTGGTAAGCTGGTGACCGGGCAGAGCAGTGATATCTGCCTGGACTGGCGGGTTGAGGTGTTTTAGTGAGGCCGGGTTGGAGAATTGTCCCTCCCCGTGCGAAACCAAGGTGTTGCTGGTATAGAGATCTGGGAACATTCTTAGAATATTACTCCTGCGAAGAGAACTCCCAGAAGTTGGGGGGAATATCACTCACCACCATGTGCAATACCATTCGAGCGCAGGCAGTCCAATGCAAGGGTGATTTGTTTTGACACCTGCCAGGCCAGACGCCCAGGCAGCCTCACGCCGTTACCAGATCGAGCAGCAAGCGTGGGAGCACTGACACCATCGACATCGAATACGAGACACTGATGTCTTCCGTTCGGACTCTCGTGGAAGAAGTGGTCTGTCAGCTTGCGCAAATGGCGGCGGCCCTGCTCGTTCTCTTCCGGAAGCGAAGCAAGTCGTTTGAGGATTGGAACTTCATTGTTACCCGCCGCACTGATCTCTGAGACGACGACTTTCAGCGCGGCGAGCCGGCAGAACACCGAGTCGTAAGCCAGCCAGACGGTCGCGTACCCGCCCCATCCGAGCTTCTGGACGACGCAATACCTCCTCGAGCAAAACGTGTCGCCGACATTGACCGGGCGATAGCCGCCAGGTCGGTATCTCTCGAGAGACTCGGACTCGATCTCGCAATGGTAGACGCCTGGGCCACCGTTCGACAAGGCCCGGTGGGTGGAGAGATTCAACCCCCTTGTCGAAACACGTTCGTACGAGAAACGTGTAGGAGGATTCGGTGACGCGTGAAATGACACAAGGCATTCATTTGAAGGATGGGAGTCCGAGTAGGAGCGCACCAAGGACTGTGTTGTAGTGGCACAATCAACAATCAGTGGACATGTTCCCGCGCGACAGGACTGAGGCAGGGATTTCCGCCACAGACATTCTCTGCGTTTGTCCCATTTCTGGACCTGCTGCCTATCGTCGCCAGGCACTTATTTGCTCAGAACATTCGAAAAAGTCCACTTATAACACGCCAACATGCCCTGTGTAGGGGTGACCAGTGCGGCACCGAGGGTTCGTAGAGGGACCAAGGCACACGGGAGGGCCGCTCTGGCCGCCTAAGCCGAAGACGGATGTTCCGCTAGTGACGTGATGTTCGTAATTACAGATCAAGCTCCGGCCCCCACTCTTTGTATAGTGAGACACATAAGGATAGAAGGAGATATATGTGCCCTCTTTATATATCTTTACATACATACAACCTCCCTCTACCTCACCTCCCTTCAACCTTTGCCAGATTCTATTACCAAAAGCCAAAAAATAAGACCTTTTTCGAATACCAAAAGTCCGCCAACAATGTCTACGCCACGCGTGCTCATCCTCGGCGGGCACGGCAAAGTCTCTCTCTTCCTCCAACCCCTCCTCCTCGCCAAGAAATGGTCCGTCACCAGCGTGGTCCGCAACCCGGCGCACGAGGTCGAGATCCTGGCGCTCGGCAAGGACAAGCCCGGCAAGATCGAGGTGTTGGTGGACAGTCTCGACGACGTCAAGGAGGTTAGTGATGCGCAGCGCGTGTTGGACAAGGTCAAGCCGGATATCGTCGTGTGGAGTGCTGGTAAAGTTCATCCCTCATCTCATATTGTCTTTCAAAACAAACTCCTGCTTAAAGTCGGACTGTGCTGTTGACCCCCATGGGGGCGAGTATGTTGTGTATTGACGACGGAGTGCATTGACTAGGCGCCGGCGGCAAGGGCGGACCGGAAAGGACAAAGGCCGTTGACATGGTCGCCGCAAAGTGCTACATCTCAGCATCGCTGGCCATGCCGGGCGTCAAGAAGTTCCTGATGGTGTCATACCACGCGGTATGTTGCTTTTTCCAGTTCACGTCCTAGCAAACCAACCCCTCGCAGACTCTTCCACTAATAATTCCCGCATTGCAGTCTCGCAAGGGTTATCCGCCATGGTGGACCGAGGAAGACCGGAAAGCCGCGGACAACATCAACCAAAACGTCCTACCGCACTACTTCCAGGCAAAAGTAGAGGCGGACGAGCACCTCGAAGCCCTCGCGAAGAAGAGACGGGACGGCGGCGACCAAGAGTTTCAAGCCATCAACTTGAGACCAGGCACTTTGACGGACAGGCCAGGCACGGGCAAGGTGACGCTAGGCAAGACGTCGATAACTGGGAGTAAGTACTACACGTTTCTCTGTTTCTTCATTCCTCCTGTTTTCGCTGACGCGTCACCACCAAAACTCTCAGATGTACCGCGCGAGGATGTCGCCAAGGTGGCCGCGGCGCTGTTGGATCGGAACGATACGCGAGGCTGGTTTGATCTGCTGGAGGGCGACGTCCCCATCGAAGAAGCAATCGACAGCCTCGTCAAGAGCGGGCACAACGGTCTGGAAGGAGAAGACATGCAACGGATTTGGGCCAGAGATACATCTCTATAAAGGAATCTCAAAATCAGGCAAACCCCATGTAATCGACAAAGTATTTGAAATAATTTCACCCTACCAGTTTGACAAAAAGCCCTTGTCAATTCCTAACATGTTCTGATATAGCTGGTGAAAGACAGCATTCGTCAACAAGGCTGTCCGGATTATGTATGGCCCACACGAGGCTGTCATGCCTGCTGCTTCCCCGCTCACGGGATCAGCTTCATGTTGCGTCACGATAATCCATCTCCAAATCTTACAAATGATGGGGACGGAAAGACAACTCGATAAGTCAAACGTAAAGACATTCTCCTTGGAACTCGTCGCCTTGTTAGAAGAAGATCCTTTTTGGCTCAGAAAGCACATCGGAATCATGGGTTCAGTCTCACATCCCGACGCAGATATCTACCCAGAGGCAACAGGCGCTGCAGCCAAGATTGTCGCGGCGCATCAAAAGGACGAGCCCATCACTTTGTACTCGGGATGGTTTTGTCCCTTTGTGCAAAGAGCATGGATCACTCTTGAGGAGAAGCAGATTCCGTACAAGTATGTCGAGATCAATCCATATCGGAAGGAACCAAGGTGTGTGTCACATCACTGCATGTCGCTGGAACGCGTTGTGCCAATTGAAGACAGTTTTCTGAAGCTCAACCCGCGAGGTTTGGTCCCTACATTGGGATGCCCTCAAGAGGATGGGTCAACCAAGCCATTGATCGAGTCCAATATCATCTGCGAGTAAGTCATGATAGCCACCTGGCTGAACAGGCTGCTCTCAGCTGACACCATCAGATATCTGGAAGACATGTATCCAAACCAGACACCTTTGTGGCCCCGTGACCCCTACAAAAAAGCTGTCATGAAAGTCTGGGTGGATCACATCACGACCCGGATCCTACCTGCATACCACAGGTATTTATTGATGCACCCCAGTCTGAAATCGACATCTCACAGCAGTATAGGGTCCTGCAACACACAGAGAAAAGCCCGTATCCCTTGGAGAAAGCACGCACCGAGCTTCTGAACGCCCTGAAGACATGGATTTCCAACGCTGATCCTGAAGGTCCATATTTTATGGGCAAAGACTTCACTTTCGGCGACGTAGCACTCGCACCTTGGGCCGTCAGGATGTGGGTGCTCGACCACTTCAAGGGTGGCGTGGGCATTCCCCCTCCAGGTCAGGGCGGAGAGGACGAGCAACTGTGGAATCGATGGCGGAAATGGTTTGATGTCGTATCGTCGAGAAAATCAGTGACCGAGACCATGAGTGACAAGGAGCACTACCTGCCTATATATCAGCGTTATGCCGAAGACCGGGCGATGAGTGAAATGGCCAAAGCGATTAGAGAAGGAAGAGGGGTGCCATGAAATGATCGAGCAGAGGAATGCATATCGATGGGACCGGAATACTTGTCGTACCACCTGAACATCATTTCTGGCGCGGAGTGGCAGGAGTAGAAGTACAAAGACTTGGTTGTCGAGAGCCATAATCCCCAATAGTCAGGTGCTCGGAATGCACGAAGTGTCACGACACCTACAAACACAGAGGTACCGAGTACGTTACAAGGAGTCAGCCCTATCAGCACCTCCGTCAAACCTCGACGCCAAGTCAAAATGTTTCCGTCGCAGTCGGTATAAAGGATCAACAATATATATCGCCCCATATCAAACAAGCTAGGAAATACCAAGTCAGCACCTCAGGTGGAACAACGTGCATCTGGAGCTATACCTCGTTGATCCTCACGTATATCTTTTTCCTTTGTCAAATAAAAGACTGAGAATGTCATGTCTGATATGTACACTTTTTCCAGCTAGAACATCGCCTGTTTCTGAGGTCATGCTCGAGGCTACTCGGAAAGGGCAAGGAATAGATGGAAGGACAAGTAAAGAACCCCCCAAGTCGAGTCTCAATCTCAATGGGCTCACCCTAGTTGCTGAGCTGAGTGGGCTCCCCCACAGTGGCGAGCTGTGCGATGTGAACTCCCCTGCCCTGGATTGGATAAGCGGTATTGATGTTGCGTATGAAGGCTGTAAGCAGGCTATCTTCCCTGGCAATCTCTTGAATGCATTGGACGCCACTTGCGCCATTGCCGAGCACAGCAACGCGTTTCCCTTTCAAGTCCAGATCTCCTGGGTATTCGGCAGAGTGTACCAAGAGACCTGTGTAGTGCTCAAGTCCCCGGAAATCTGGGTAGTGCTTTTGGAAAGCGAACCCAACACAGGGAAAAAATACTTGCAGACGTAGTTAGGACCATCCTGGGTGAAGATGTTCCATTCACCATCTTCCCAGGCAGCACCTTGGACAAGCGTATTGAAGGTTGTGTCCTTTCTAGGTCGAGGACTCTCGCGACGTGAACAAAATATGCCCTCAGCTCATGATGATCCGGGTCACGGCATGACCAGTTCCATGTCTCGTGGATTTCGGGGATGTTGGGTTGATATGTCGGCATTTCAGAGTCAACTCTCGCCCCAGGGTAGCGGTTCCAGTGCCACACACCACCATACCCGCTCCCTTTCTCGATAAGCTTGACAGACAGGCCTAACTTTCGGATCATGTGTAGAGCGTAGACGCCCGAAAATCCGGCGCCAACGATAAGAACATCCGTGCGGATGGTGTCTGGGGCGGTTGAACCCATGTCTGACATGGCTCGGAAACCGGTTCATGTCACGGAATCTCAACCTTTTTCACGGATCGCTTTCGTGTACTACAAGTTTCCATCCCAGTGGATATGACGGAATCTCATCTGTTTCACTGACGACTTTCACGTACCACAAGATTCACCCCTACCGCTCGTCTCACCTGAACAGCACGATTTACCTGGCGATTCGAAAAGTCCCATAATGGCAGTACCACAACAATTCAAGTGCTACATTGGCGAAGAGCGTCTCGCAAAGCTCCAAAAGAGACTGGAACTTACCGAGCTTCCCAGTGAATTGGAGGGAGTAGAGCCATGGACACGAGGGACGCCATTGTCGGAGATCCATCGTCTGCATGAATATTGGATGCGTGGTTTCGACTGGCGCAAAGCTGGGAGAGATATCAACCTATATCCGCAATTCATTAGTGAGATAGAGGTTGAAGGGTTCGGTGCCCAGTCGGTCCATTTCATGCATGTCAAGAGCAACAACGAGCACGCCATCCCTTTGTTATTCGTCCATGGATGGCGTGGGAGCTTCCACGAGGCTTCGAAGATTGTTCCTCTCCTGACGGTGGTCTCGAACGACTTCCCCTCCTTTCATGTGGTGGCGCCCAGCCTGCCTTCATTCGGTTTCTCCGGCTCGGTCCAAAAGGTATGTTCCCTCCCTCACATTGAGCCAAGCGAGGACAACATGTCAATAAAACTCTTAAAGAAAGGATTCCACAGCGGGAAGCATGCAGAAGCACTACATAAACTAATGCTGTCTCTGGGATACACCCAATACGGTGAGAGTCATTTACCCCTGACCATACCTATGCTGCTTTTCGAACTGGCGGAGCTGATAGCTATTCTGTGTATGCAGTGACTCAGGGAGGTGATGTGGGCCACTCGGTAACGCGAATGATAGCGTACAGTTATCCCGAACACTGCAAAGCTCACCATCTGAACATGGTTGTCGCCTCTCAACCGAGCGAGGATCAGTTTCCGCAACTGGTGGAGAAGATCAAAAAAACATCAATTTCGGAGCAGGAGCAGATGGGCCTCGATCGCTCTCAGAAGTTCTTCAGCGAAGGAATGGCTTACGCTCTGATGCATGCGCAGCGCCCCCAGACTATAGCTTACAGCATGGTCGATAGCCCTATCGGCCTTCTTGCATGGATCTACGAGAAACTACATGCTTGGACGGACGCATATCCCTGGACCGATGACGAGATTTTGACGTGGGTTTGCACTTATTATTTCTCGACCGCTGGACCTCATGCACCCGCGCAATGGTATCACGAAAACTACTACTCCGAGTGCGTAAGTACCGTGACAAAGTACATCGATGTCAAGCTCGGTGTATCCAGGTTCCCACTTGAGATCGTGCAGATGCCGCGGCTGTGGGCGCACACATTGGGCCCGATAGTGTTTGAGCGGAATTATGACGCCGGTGGTCATTTTGCGGCTTGGGAAAGGCCACAGGCTTTGGTCGACGACTTGAGGGAGATGTTCGGAAAGAACGGAGGAGCCTTTGGATGCGTGGTTGGCAAGAGTGGATACAAGACAGGATGAGGCCCAATATATATAGATCTCATGCTAGCCGATATCCTTCTACCTTGACCTGGTCATTACTGTTCCTTCGAGGCAGACCGCGCACACAGCCCCGTATCCTGTAATGGTGCAACTACCGAATCGACCCTCAATTCTCACAGATGGTGAAGCCCCTCGTAACTGTCAGCAAGTCTGTTCACAGGGAATATCACGCAGTGCAACGGACCCGTCCACAACCAGATTCTGGCCGATTACCAGGCTTCCACGCGTAGATGAAAGCATAACTACCGCATCGCCTATATCTTCAGGCACAGCGGTACGGCCCTGGCGGGCCTCGATGGCTTTCCAATTGGCCTCAGCTTCTTCGGGAGACATTCCCAGGTCAAGACCTTGGACGAGTTGGGTGGCTATGAAGCCAGGCGAGAGTGAATTAACACGGATCCCGTGCCTCCTTGCCTCTAGTGCAGCCTGGTGTTTGAATTAAAGGTCAGCCTAGTCTCGATGAGGAGGATGATCTGGACTTTATAGATCGTACTGCTTTGGTTATCCCTGCCACGGCGTGCTTCGAGGCCGTATACGGGCCCGAACCCTCAGCGGACATGATTGAATTGACAGAAGCGCAATTCACAATCGATCCGCGACATGGAGCTCGGCCAGGTTCACTGCCGCAGAGCAAGAGTCAGCATGAATCCCGCGTCATGGATGCGATGTTTCGTTGAATGCTGGTTACAATTCAACGGCTTCTTGCTTCATCATAGCCTTGATCAGTTGTGAAGTACAGATCCACACGCCAATTGTGTTGACTTCAAGCACTTTCCGCACCGTTTCGATTGAAGTGGTCCAGATGCGAAGATTGATTGGTCCCACAATACCTGCAAAGTTGCTGTAGCGGGTGTTAGTCCTCCTGTCGAGGCAAGTCGTTCATGGGTCTAAAGAGAGACGAACGCAGCATAGTCGATTCGCCCAAAGGTTGTTATTGTCTCCTCAATCGCACGAGCAACATCGTCTTCTTTGGTAACGTCGGCTTTGATGGCGATGCACTGCGCAGATGAGAGTGGTTACACATGGTCAGGGACTGGGACGATGACAGCAAATTGCAATGCGGTCTTTAAACAGTATTACTGACTCGAGCTCCGTAGGTCTCGACATTCTTGCGGCCTGCTTCGAGCAGATCATCGCTCAAAATATCGACGATAACAACCCCTCGTGCGCCATCCTTTGCGAAAGATACTGCAATCGCATTGCCCAAGCCGCGTGCGCCGCCGGTTACGAATGCAACTCCAGGAGTCAGGGGTCCAGAACGAAAAACCATCTTTCACGGGAAAGGTAGATTACCCTGCAATGATTATTCGACGGTTTCTGATACCAGCACGCCGAGGGTTGAAGCACCTTCTTAACGTGACCTCTGAGATGGCTCGTGGTATTCAATTTGCGTCCAGGATCGAAGGATACGACTGGGTTAAATTCCGAGTTTTGAATTCCGGTGCAGCAGTGCTGGGCTGGCTCGCCTTCCATGATTGCTAGAGCTTGGCCATCCTCGGGTTGTTTGCAAGTCTTCGTGAGACTGTGCCCTTATGTATTGATATGTAATTAAATTAGCGCTTGAGTTGCCACCGGTTACTGTATTACCGACACGAGAAAGTCGAGCTGCTCGTGTCGACTTCTGAGGGACGGTCCTGACTATGATGGCGAGATATCCACACTTGAAGGACCCATCCCACTACCGCTAAGGTAGGCTCCAGACTGGGGGAACAGATTCTAACATACACGGGCCGTGGCCTTGATTTTTTCTTACTTGTACGTCTGATTGGAGTCCTGGCTTTCCCGGGTCGGGGAATGCTTCCGCGGTCCCGAGTAGACAGTCGTTCCCGCTATAGTCCCGACGGTGATTATCGATTTCGGAATTGGCCGCTTCGCCCTTACAAGAGTACACCCAACGTCGAACGAGGGTGGCGGCGTGGGCGTGGTAGATTGCGCCAGAGTTGTAGGAAGTGTGGTACGTCTGACATCTCAGAGGTCGGGGCCGAGGGTCTTAGGCTTGGAATTGTTAGAGATATCTGAAGTCGTTCCCCTGATCTCCCCTTCTCCCCTTCTCCCCCTGCGTGACACGCTTTCCAGGGTAGTATGTCTGAAGCCCTCTGAGAGCAGTAGGTTTCCCAGAGGCTTGGTCGGAGGTCCTCACGACTGTGTGGCCATGCCCGGCGTCGAATATGCGACCGTGTCATTGCCCCCACCCGACGTATGGAGAGGTTTTGGTGTCGGTATTATCGAAAACCGGTGCCGATGGATCGGTAGGAAGAGAAGCGACGAGATGGAAGGTATAGTAGAAGAGGGAGTGATCTTCTCCTTAACATATCTGCGGCCGACGCTGCTCTTGTTGGCGCAAGCGATTGGTGGTTCCGCCTAACGGCAGGGTGACATCACCTCGTTACCGGATGGGGGGTTTTCCCAATCCTTGGCGCGTTTCGCGTTTCGACAGCAGCGACAGCACATTGCTTCCCATGTATGTATGTATTCCTGCTCCCACGGCCTCGCCCTCGATGCCCTTACCTTTGTCCTACGGCAAGGCCCATTGAGGTATGGCACAGGGGCTAGTAATCATCGATACCGGTTGACGCAGAGGCGTTTCATGTGCGATCGCTGAACCAAGATGCCACGCGCCCCTCGAAGAGCAGCGCATCAGGCTCGCAACAATGAAGTCACGACGACACCGACTCGCAATGCCTTGACGGCGGAAATCCCACCCTTTATGCTCGAAACACCTCCGCATGCTCCCTTCATCACGACCCCTTTGCCTCCGTCGAATAATCCAGGCAACTCCATTGTTCCAGAGACCAATCCCGCGCGCCAACACGGTCGGACCGAACCAACACCGACCGCCCATGGAGCTGGTCACATTCAGAATGATGCCGAAGAGGCACAGGCGTCGCAGAATGCCCTCGGTTCAACCGCTTCGGAAGGTGGCCATGCAGATGAGCAGTCATTGCTTGAATCTGTTCACCATGATATCGAAGATGCCCGACAACTCCAGGGTTTGCGAGATATCTCGTCCCTAGCAACGTGGACGTTGTCCTCCACAAAACCCGGCTGCGGACTGCCTCAACTGCGGAACCCGAGTCCAAATTTATTCTGGCAGAGCGACGGACCACAACCTCATACGTTAACCTTACACTTCTTCAAACTTGTTGCTATTGTCAAAATGAGAATCTATTTGGACTTTGAGCTTGACGAGTCGTACACACCTACGAAGATGAAGTTTTACGCGGGCATGTCAGAAGGCAGTTTGGTTGAGTTTGGTTCATGGGAAGTCACCGACACCGTTGATCCGGAGACGGGGGAGGCACACAGTAGCATCGAAGGTCTACGGGGCTGGATTGATGTGCCACTGAAGGGAGTTGGTGGAAGGGAACCACGCTACTATGGAAACTCGGACATGATTGCTAGTCAGGGGGAGCCCACACTTTATCCCCTCAGAGCAGACTGTCAGGAGAATCCAGGGGGGGATGTGCTGAAGGCGATGGTGGTCCAGATTCGTATTTGTGAAAACCACCAAAATGGCAAAGACACTCATGTTCGGGGATTCCAGGTGTTTGGGCGAGACTACAGCCATCATGCAGAGACGAAGGGCCATGCGAGAAGGATTAAAGGCAGCAAAGAGAAGCAGACGCTAGGAGGCGATGGCGGTGGCGAACGAGTTGCTGGGCTGTCTATGGCAGACTGGATGGGTGATCCAGAGATACGATAGATGCTGCATGACTTTGATGACTTTTGCCACGACACGGCCGTTACCGATTGAAAGCATTAATGGGCAAACTGGGACGAGCTGCTGGATCACTACTATAATCCTCACAAAACTGTTTCGAATGACGATCTGCGGACTGACTGGTACTGGGGTTGCCATCGATGAGCACAATTCATACGAAGCACACAGCGCACATTGCACACTGCACATTGCACACTTCAGGCTGCAGACCTGCGACCTTCACTCTTCTTTCTTCATTCTTCGCTCTTCACCTTTCACACACAACCGCCGAACCACATTCTCCTGCGATTTCATCTTTCTCCGTCACTGTTCAGTCTACACTCCTCATCCTCGGTCTAAACAGTCACCTAAATAGCATGCAAAATGGTCAGCCTACGTGTATCAATCCTGCTTCTACTCTGTTTCGCCATCTGCTCGCCATTGTGGTTCCTTGTAGATAAGATCCCCCAAGGTCAGCATCACTCGGGCCAGGTTCACTCTGGAACGATGCTAATGAGCTTACCCCAGATACGTGGGTCAAGAATCGTTGTGACAGTCTCCCTTCCCAAGCTAGAGCATCGTCGACGACAGATCGAGTGCCAACCTCTTCAAGCTGCATGCTGCAGCCCTACAGCTCGACCAAGATTCAGTCTTGCCTCTCCGAGCAACGCCTCATCTTCTTTGGCGGTTCAAAAGCTCGCCAGATATTCTGGACTGTGGCAGAAAAGTTGGACCCCAGTGATTCTCAGATTTCTAGCAAGAGCATTAACGCCAAAATTGAAGCCACTACAAGATTCAACTCAGCCGGGACGGAAATCATTCATGTCTGGGACCCAACATTCAACTCAACCCGCCATGCCCTCGTGGGCCGCAGGCCAACAGAAGAGGACTACGCTCCTGCAGACTACCCTTGGATGATTGGCGACGTTCACTTCTTTTTCCAAGAGGATGGCATTCATCTCACGGATGAGGCTGCACTCCTTCATGCCGACATTGTATTGAATTACTTCTGCAATAAGCTCATCGGTACACCATCGAAAGGCTCTCAAGCATACTGTTGTGCCTCTTATGTCGGCCCAAACGTGGCGCAGAAGCTACTGCTGTTCATGAGCTCGTGTGCGATTGTCTATCACCTCTTTTCGTTCTTTGGCTCCAGAAAACATACCGATAGCCATGATAGAGACTGGCTCTTCTTCCACGAAGCCCCCAGAACCATGGGTGCAGTGACTACAATTTCCGTTGCCGTACTGTACTGCTTCATAGCCGATCGTACCGTCTTGTTCGACAAAGCTTCGAAAACGGTAGAGGTGGGCAAATTTATAGGCGGGACCATCCTCACGCTGCTCGCAGGCCTGGCAACCTTCAAACAAAATCGGCCTCATCATGCGACAACCGGTGAGATAGCACTTCCAGAACACCGCCAATTACTTTCCAGGCAGCAAACAGAGGAGTGGAAAGGCTGGATGCAAATCATCATCTTGTTGTACCACTACTTTGGCTTGTCGAAAGTCCTCTGGGTCTATCAGTTTGTCCGGCTGTTGGTCTCATCTTACCTCTTCATGACTGGATTTGGTCACACCTATTATTTCATCACCACGAACGACTTCTCATTTCACAGGGTGGCTAGTGTCTTGCTGAGGACGAATGTACTTAACATCATTCTCGCTTTCGTCATGGGGACTCGATACGACCTGTACTATTTCCCCATGCTGACCAGCTTGTGGTTTCTCATTGTCTGGGCAACAGTCCCCAAGACTGCGACACCTGGCGTGGATATACGTCGTTTCGTCCGTCGAACTGCCATATCCGTGTCGTTGGTCAGATTCACTCTAGGAGTAGGATCTAGCGATAGCATTGCGGCAGTCCTTGCTACGATCTGTCCTCCAGGCTGGGGCCTTCCTGAAATCGACGGACAGGAGTTCCTTTTCAGATTCAGCCTTGACGCCTACATTGCATTCATTGGCATGATCACGGCTGTGCTGTATGTACAGTATGACACCTCCCATGGCCTCCAGTGCCATAAAACTGCTATGGAGACCGTCCCTTGGTCGCAGCTCGCTTCACGACTGACGACATGGGGTGCTGCGTTTGTCATTTTGGCATACTCGATATTGTGCGGCTTTTTCGCAGACAAGTTCCGCTACAATGGGTGGCACCCCTTTCTCTCGCCGTTTCCTGTGCTAGCTTTCGTTGTCCTTAGGAATTCGACTCGAAAATTGTCAGCCTCCCACAGTCGACTCTTTGCATGGTTCGGTCGATGTTCTCTGGAGACTTTTGTCTTTCAATACCACACCTTACTTGCTGCCGACTCCCGCGGCGTGCTCCGTCCAAGACTCGCCTGCAAATTCCTCGGTCGAAAGGCTTATCGAGGCATGTTCGATGCTTTGGAGACAGCAATGGTGGTAGCGGCGTTTCTTTGCATGAGCGCTGTTACGACAAATGCTCTCTCTACCATCACCAAGAGTCTTGTTGGTCTCGGAGGTCGGATACTGTTACCTCTCATCGGCTTGTGGATACTCAACCTGTCGTGGAATTCATTGGCCGTTGACACCACATATTAATACTGGTGGGAGATCACCAAACATGGCACTTGCTACCTCTACCTTCTTGGATAATTCCGCCCTTGGAGGCTCACCTTGCCAGATTTAGAAAAGTCTTCTCCAATTCCCAAGCCTTTTCCTACTCCACATTCTCGGTACGTTTCCTCGAATGTTACCTGGCGGCGGAGAAGAACGCACTTGACGTTAAGTTTTTTTGACCTTGTGTACCAGATGAGTCAATGATTGAAAGGGCATGCAATTCATGACATGGCCGGACTGGGACCCAGTTGCACAGAGTGTCGAATGTAAGGGCAGACTGTGTGTCCGATATCGTACCTGCTGACCTCACACCTCTTTGAGAATGCATACAATTCCATTATGAAACGGCATGTTACTCCGGCAAATGCGTGCCGTGCGGTTTTCGGAGCGATGATTTGCCTCCGCAGTCCCAGTACTCCATAGACCCAGCAATCCCAAGTGAATCACTCCCTTCGTCCCGCTCCAGGAAACCTCTTGTTTTCAAATCTGTCTCGGCACTTGTGCGGCTTGTCCTGCGTAGCTTGCGCATGTTGTCAAAGACATTTGACCAGAGTCAAGACAGGACACGAATTGCAACGCAAACAACCCAGTATGGGCGAGGACAAGCCAGAAGGAGATGGCGAAGAGGTCGCCATTGAAGTTCCCATTCAGCCGGGGGAGCCTGTTGCAGCTGTGGATGCATCTATTGAACCGCCATATGGATGGGTTGTCTGTATCGCCATGCATTTGATCAATGGATTCACATGGGGTATCATTGCGGTATGGTCACTTGGCCCTAGCATGTCGTATAGTGAGTACTGACCTTGAGCCTAGTCATATGGCGTTTACCTATCGTACTACATTGATAACTCCATATTCCCCGGTGCCTCAGATTTGGACTATACGTTCATTGGTGGCGTCAACTTCGCCTGTGCCATGCTCTGCGGACCTATTGTCAACATGTTCGTCCGAAGACTCGGGACACATATCCCTATGTACTGCGGCTGTGTCATGTTCGCGGGCGGCTTTGTCGCAGCCTCATTTGCCACAGAATACTGGCATCTTATTCTGACGCAGGGCATCCTGGTTGGGTATGTGGCTACGGTCTTGTCCTGATTGTGCGTCAGACTAATATTTGGCAGGTTGGGAACAGGCTTTTCGTGGCTACCAGCTACACCCATACTTCCCCAGTGGTTCAACAGAAATAGGAGTCTAGCTCAAGGGATCGCAGCCGCAGGGAGCGGCATTGGCGGCGTGATATTCTCTGCCGCAACAACCCCCATGATCGAGAATCTTTCGCTTGCTTGGTCACTACGGATCACTGGCATCCTCGCATTTGTGGTCCTGTTTACGGCATGTTCGTTGATCCGCGACAGAAACAAGACAATCCGTCCCAGCTACAAGCCTATAGACACGGAGCTCCTGAAAAGGTATCAGGTCTGGCTGCTTATCTTCTACACGTTCTTTTCCATCCTTGGCTACATCGTGGCGATCTATTCTCTGGGTAAATCAGCCGTCCCATACCACTCCAACATGAAACTGATCTATTTCTTAGGCGCGTTCGCAACATCTCTCGGATTGACTCAAGATCAAGGCGGCACTGTGATCACCATCATGAACGTCGGAACCGCTTTCGGTCGACCTTTCATCGGGGTGCTAAGCGATCGATTCGGTCGCATGACAATAGCATGCGTCTTGACCGCGTCAAACACCTTGCTATCATATGCGATCTGGATTCCTGCCAATTCTTATGGCGTACTTATATTCTTTGCTCTTACTGTGGGCGCGACGAGTGGTGTCTACTGGGGTGTACGGATACAACCGCTTCAATGATACGAGTCATGCTAACTTGTTCCTAGACAATTGCTCCTCTTTGTGCCGAGGTCGTCGAACTGAAAGAACTTCCATCAGCCCTCAGTCTGATGTGGGTGACTGTCTCTATGCCTGCTTTATGTGAGTCCTTGTAACGGTCGCCGTCTGATGAAACCGAAGCTCATTCTCTATGCAGTCTCGGAAGCAATAGCATTGGAGATTCGCCGACCTCATTCATCCCGGCCCTATTTATGGCCTCAGATCTATACTGGCTTGGTCTTCCTGATCGCGGGCGGTTTCATGTTTGAGCTCCGCCGGCAGAAATGGGGCTTCAGGAGGGAAAGGCATAGATGAATGTCTCGACGGAAGATGAAATCACCACCATCGTGCCTTGTGATGCAAGAAACATATTGGATACGCCGCGCACCTTCGAAGGTGAATACAAAAGCCGGAGACAGGTCCTCTGATATGGTCCATCAGCTCCTTTGCTTTACTCAGGAAAAACATTGCTCTCCATATCCGGCATCTGCACCCCTGGATTGTCCTCGCCGGCATTGATTGTCCCTGCAGGACAGTGTAGGGTGAATGACCAGTCTAGGGACCTATCACAAAAACCACTGGACGACAGCGACG